GAGATCACCCTAATGCAGGAATTATACATCAATAATATTCTAATAACACGGCCCCAATCATTCACAACCCATGTTTTCTGGAGAGCTCATCTCTTATTAAGAGGAGCCAAGCTCCCTCTGGCTCCCCTGCAGTTCATACCCTGGTTAAACAGCCTCAAGATTGGATTTTACATTATCTGACACTATGTACTTTAGTCTCTGCTGTCACTGCTCCTCATTGAAGCAGCAGTATTTACACTGAGTGAAACCAAAGACAGTTTTTAATGGCTGCGCAATTCAGTCAAATTGACATGAAATGTTTCTTTTGTACATCATGTTTTCATAAATTCCCCCAACATTGAGCCTTATACACTTGGTATATTTGGGAACTTTGAGGATACAACTACAATTTGAAATAAAATTTTGTGGGTTTAAACGGTGTCTAGCTGCACAGCATGATGTTGTAATGAGGATCAATGAGGTTTAAAGGGTTGACAGCTAGGACCACAGTGACTCTTCTTTAATCAGCCATTAGCATTTCATGCTTTTGAATGTGTTTCAAGCACTTCCCACCATTCCACGAGTCATTCAGCCTTTGTTTTACGATTCAGTCTTTCATTTATCACTATACTGTAGCAATCAGACGTCACCTTTGGTTTATAACTGAAACTGCATTTGTATCACCAAAAAAAAACCCAAAAAGGAAGTTTATCTATGGGAACACATCAGGTATCACTCTGTTAAAGGTTATAGAAAATAAGGAGAAGTGTTCCGAACTGCTTACATCCTCTTTTAATCTCACTCGTCCATCCTTCTCTTTGTGCAGGCACACACACTTAGCCAAATGCACAATACACAAATAATAGAGAGTAATAGACAAAAAGCTGTCAGTATAAATGCACCACATTTATTTTGTGTTTTGGCCAAAAAAGCTTTCAGCATCCTTTTTATTTCTAACACAGGCCTTTTTTTTTTACTCAGATGCAGCTAAAGTGTTAAACTGAAGTGAATGGATCAATGCCTGACTGGTCATCATTTCCTCTTTCGCACTGGCTCTATTTATTAGTAACAAGATGATCATGCGATAGATTAGTCATATGACCATGAGAAGCTGTAAAAAAAACAACAAAATGAGGTCACATCAGAGACACAGGATGTTCGGGTTTCATGCAATGACACATATCTACAAATCACTGGTGTGAGGATATCCAGTACATACTACATACTACTCACTCAGTCATTGAGACTGAATTGTATTTGAAAGCCATAGGTTTATCTTCCATGTGTGTCATAAGACAGAAGTCATCCTTTTGGAACCACATGGGTTGTATACATGTCACTGGATTACTGTGTGATGTTGCTCGACCAGTTCAACAAAGGAGACTTTGTTTCAGGTCTATTTCAGTCACAGGTGAAAATGTTCCAATGTGGAAATTTTCCATTAGATACAAATCTATCTATCTACAATGTTTACACGTTTAAATACAGCTGGGGATCATGAGGATGTTATTTGCTTTGTAGGTATTTGGTCATAAATCAAAGTATTGGGCACATTTTGATCTGATGGTTAGCTATGAAAGTTGCTCAGTGGCGCATGAAGCCAAAAAACCATTTCCCGCTCTAAAGAAATTATACGGATGAATGTATACATACGCACCAGAGACTTCCACTGGCCGAGTTGACTGACTTCCAGTTTAGCCTGCCTCTTACTTGAATGGGAATAAAATAATTTGATTGTGCAGCTTATCTAGACTTTCCAAATGTTATTGCCTAAAAATTTTTATAAAATGTATTCACCGTTTTATAGACGCTTCACATACTGTCACAATAGACATAGCTTACAGGAAAACGTAATTTTGGGCCAGTGTGCATCACTTGACGGATGTAATTTGGTTAAATTGGCTTCAAAGACTGGTGCTCTTCCTAGCGGCATGGTCTTCTGTCTATCAAATCTATCCCAGGAAGCATGCGTTGGAAGACAGGGAAACAACCTGAATATAGAGTCTTCAGTCCAGCAGGTCTTTGGACTGCAAAAGGAAGCTAAAGCACACAAAGAAAACCCACTTTACCATGCATGTTAGCATTGTTCAACCCAATGATACAGGCTTCTCCAATGTGAATTGCAAATGAAACATTGTAAAACTTTTTTCTGTTGGCTGCCATAGCTGCATATATACCCCAGTGACTTCAATGCTCAAAGTCCATCATGCAAATCTAGAGTCTATATTTATATCTACAATATAATAGATGTTATATAACTTCTTAATTTAGAATAGCACAGTTGTATATACTGCATATTTTTACTAAATTATTTGTGAGAGTCACAGCTGAAAATGACGATGGCGATGTCAAAGATGGTGCTGACCCATGCTGAGTTGTTCTCACAGATCAAACAGTAAACCTTTGTTGCATATTCTAGTCCCTGTGTCATAAGTACGTGTGATTACGTTGGTTTTATGTAGGTAATGGTGTAACACTCATGCGAAAGCAGACCTAGATATTCTGTTTTGCTTCTCTGCTCTTCCTGTGTTTCTACGACTTCCTCAGCAATGACCCTATTAATCAGTCATGTGTCCTACAAAAAGGTTCATGTTAACTCATATGGTCCCCTTCCTAGTTTTTAGGTCAACATGGGTGAGATAACTTCATATGTTTCTGATGCAGTTTCACTTCTTTCAGATATTTTCATTGAAACAAAGCCAGGAAGAGTAAAGAAGCAGAATTTTTAATGGATGTAAAGAGAAATTATCTGTATCAACTAAAATGTGTTTCACAACCACATTTGTGATGAGGGGTCGGAAGTAGACATTGCTTTGATTTTAGGGGTTACAAGACGCATTCAAAGCACAGGTTCTAAAAACTTTACCGCTCACTTTTGGATGTATATGAATCTGCAGGTTTTCCCTTTCACAACTACTTCCTGTTCAACACAGTTTTGGTCCTGGAAACCACACACGAATGTGCAACAAGCCATTGTTTCAGTGGTGAGGCCAAGTTCAATCTTGTCCAGACCGGTTTTTGTTTGGTTTGTGTGGTGACTGTTGCGTGTCATTAACTGTGATGTTCTGTTCAACAGTTCTTGTTCATGTTCCATTCACTCCAAAGCCCACATTCATTCACTGATTATGTTTTAACTCTTATTTTATTATTATTTTATTTTGAACTAAAAGAGCAGTCCTTCCACATGTACATTTTGATCAAACTAACGACTTGGTTGTCATGATGTGTCCTGACAAAGAAAAGGGTGAACTTGACTGTCTTTTTGAAAAAGAGTCAGAAATAAGACTTTCACTTTCAGATACTTACACAGAGCCATCAGTTAATGCTGCAGTTTTTCCATTTTCTGAGCTTGTGACCAAAACATTTTTAGCCCTGCTAGTGGAGTGGCTGTAGGGATTGAAATGTCAGCCTCTCAGGCCGTGGTTCACCACTTTGGTCTGGATGGATATTATGCTGATTCTAAATGGTTTACTATGAAATTGTGTACAGACATTCATTGTTCCCAGACGATGTAGGCCTATTCTAATGACTTTCTTGGTCCCCTGATTTTTTATCTAGTGCCACCAGCAGATTGATATTACATAAAATGTGTTTGAGGGAAATGTCTTAGCAACTGTTGGATAGATTGCTATGACATTCAGGACATGTCCCCTTCAGGGTGAATTTGACTATATCAATTTGTCTAAGACTATGGTTTATCACCAGATACCCTCAGAACTTAAGGACATTTCCATCAGACACAGCTATACTTTGTGCTAGGTACTGATTAGTAAATGTTGGCATAGTAAACTAAGATAATGAACATGGTAGATATCACCTGCTTAGCACCAGCATGTTAGCATTGTCATTATGAGCATCTTAGCATGCTGACATAAGCATCTAGCTGTAGATGTTTAGCGTTGCTATGCTTTCTTTAATAGTTATTATTCTTACAGTAATTACTTTCCTAAGAAATGAAAGCAATATCGAATCAATATTTCTCTTACCCCCTATCTCTGTCCCATTTCCCATGTCCTCTCCCACCCTTGCATCCCTTACAAAAAACACATATAATACCAAATAAACTACATAAAGGGAAGAGAAACTAATTTGGTTCTGAGCAATCTGCACATTTGCCCCCTGATGTAACATTACTTCATTATGGCTGTTTTACTGGTCTTATTCCATCTAAATTAAGTGAATTCCTAATCCTAGGCTTTGTCATGTCGTTGATTTGTGGGACAGTTTTTGGTTTTTGGGCTTCTGCTGAAGTTAAAATTCAAAAGAGTTACAGAGTCAGAGTGGTGAGAAAGTAACTGAAGTGTTTTACTCAGGAGTAATAGCTCTGGCCCCAAAGAGAGTGTGCACTGAAATGGAATATACATAACTGAGCTTATTTGGTGCTCTGTTCATAGTAAAAACAGCTAAATCCAAGTCAAAGGTTTATTGCTTGTAAAGACACTATTTGAAACAGGATATAATTTCTACGTATGAACAAACAGAGACAAGACTCCAGGTATTCCCCTTCCAGAAAACCAACTTTCACTTTTTATATCATAACTTCTGATGTTCCACTGTTTCAAAAGCACAGTTTCTAGTACACAAACATATATTTTAATGATCCTCGTTGATTAATAATGATTTTGTTCTTGAAACACCTTTAAAATGCTGTTAATTGAATTAACATCATGAAATAAACAGCCTTTTAAATTAGGTAAAATTTAAAGAAATGCCAAAATATGAGGAACCAACAGTGATAGTGAAGGGGATGTAATCCAGAAACTGGGAAAGAAAGACACACAGAAGGAGCAGCACAGAAAAGGAAAAAAGAAACTCGTGAACATTTGACCTTTGATTAAAAATAGCACAGACTTGAATGGTGAGCTAAACAACAACAAGAGACTGAGTGACTTTCAAGAGTCTATGTAATGCATTTAACTGTGGAGAATGTGATGGGGGTTGTGATACATTAAGGAAGAGCACAAGGTTTGACGCACTTTGAGTATTCATGTAACTCCTTCTAATTACGCAACAATCAGGCAGTATGTCAACAGAGGTTAAAGATAGCCTGACACATGGGGTAAAAGTGGTAAGACTCAGGGAGAAACTTGATGTCTTGACATCATAGTTGGAATCGCAATCTGGCTTTGACCCTCGTCAGTGAGAAGAGGCAGTCAGGATCCAGTGGTGAAGCTGTGAGGTTGGAAATCTGACGGAGCATCATGCACACCATCAAATTATAATTCACAGAGGAGGTAGTCTTATTCATATTCAACAATGACCGGGCTCTCTGAGACATCTCTTGACCTTCAGGACACAAAGAGAATGTAAGTAAAGTACGTCCCATTTGCAATGCAATGAGATTTACTTTAAGCCTTCTTAATACTACTAATAATACTGTTATCCTCTCTTGCAGACATAACGCATGGAAATCCAAAATACATAACTTCATCCACAGTCCATTACCATGGAGGAAAATCAACAGGTGTTTTTTTGTTGTTAATATTATCATTCTGCATATTAATATTGTGCTGTCTAACTTTTTCTTTCAAATGTGAACAAATCCAAAAACCTTCCATTTCCTCTGTTTACAGACAAGAAACAAATCAAACAAGCCTGCTGGTAGAATCTTTTGAGGCACTCCTTTCCCAGAAATGTAATTTTCATCTGCTTTCAAGCAATACAAAACTAATATCATGGCTGATTACTGTTTTATTTATAATGCAGTTATGTTCCTTTGTGTAAAAGGTGGACACACAGCATTTCGGGACTTTCTGAAATCAGAGTTCTGTGAGGAAAATCTGGACTTCTGGTTCGCCTGTCAAGAGTTCAAAAACTTCGACAGCCCAGAGGAGCTGAAACAGAGAGCAGCAAGTATTTATGAAGAGTTCATCAGGGCCGAGTCTTCCAAACAGGTGAAAACAAACTCTATTAGATGCTCAAACCCAAATCTAAGCGTAAGGAAAACTTGGTTTGCACATGAATATTTCATGTGTTTATTGCAAGAGCGGCAATAAGTGCAAGAAATAGAAAAACTCCTGCACTGACCTGTATCATTTACTGTACATTAACCACAGCCAGTGTTTTAAATAGTTACTTTCCAACTGCATCTGTAATGATGCAGGTGGCTGCACATAGTGCGTATACAGTCAATGTCTAAATTGAAACAGCATGTTCACTGCATTGCTTAACACGTCTTTGCAGGTAAACCTAGATTTCTACACAAGAGAGATCATCAGCCAGAGTCTCCAGCAACCAAGTTCATCATGCTTTGTCATGGCAGAGAGGAAAATCTACAGCCTGATGGAGAATGGCTCCTTCCCACGCTTCATTCAATCTGAACAATACAAAGTCTTATTTGATGCAGCTTCTAAGCCTGGGAAGCACAGAAAGGCCTTGAAGATAAAGAGCACAGGAGCTCTAATACAGCACGATTCAAAACCAATCATTCTGCAGAGTGAACTCCATCTCTTGCACAAGGACTGAAATCATGCATGTTGATGGTGTCAAGTGTTGCACAGACACAGGGTCAGGATCTGCTTTTGGCAGACACAATGCAATCACTTCCCCTTGCCTCAAAATGTCCCCTCAATAACATAATGTGAGACAAGACTATAAGCTGTGCCAGTGCACTGGACATATAACATACTGCAGGCAGTGCCATCTGGTGCACATTGAACACTGGACTTTATGTTTTGAATGTAACCCTTAATATTTCTGGGACTCTACAAGTGAAATGCACATGACTACAGGACTCTATTTAGTGAGTTTGTGCTTGAACAATATTTATACAAATGTGAATGATTTTGACATGTATGCATCATGAAGCATGATGATGAGCAATGCTACAGGATTTATTTTGGGGTAAACTCATACAAGAGCTCCTACACTGAACAAGACGTCATGGTCACCTGGATGTCATAAAAATCCATCCTTTGAAAAGTTGATGTACTACTGCCACCCAGTGGTGAGTGGGTTAACGACATCAATTCAATCTTATTTCAATAGTGATCTAACTGGTCTCAATCTTTGCAGAAAAATGGTTTCTAAAGGTATAAATAAAATAACCTTTTAGGTAATAATGATATTTATTATTATCCATACTTTATTTGTGTAGGCTAATGGTGATTATTTATTGTATTATTATTATTTATTAACTCCCTATTTAATTTTCACTTGTCTGACACTGACACTCATAAAGACACTCAGTGGTGTAACCAGCAGCAACACTGAATAAATAGAGGTTTTCTCTCAAATGTAACCTGTTGTATATCATTTATCTTCCCCAATTCCCACAAATTCTAGACCTTTAGTCCATTTGAAATCACATGACTAAAATCAGCTCCAATAAATATTTCCCTTATTTGTCAGATTCTTTCATTTCAGTTGTCTAAACACATTCAGTCTTCAATTAAAAAGCAACATCTTGTGTTAAAGAAAATAAGTTAGTTGTTTTGTTTGTTTTCTTTTGCTTTTCCTACTTATGCTGCTGTTGATTATTCTTTGACTCAGTCTTATGCGGTATCAGTAACACATTTTTGTTTTTTACAAAAGCAGTTTTAACTGCTTTCTCAGCTCATGACCTAAATGATGAGGACTTTTTCACAGCAGACATTTTGGCTTATAAGAAAAGCACAGGTAGGTATTAATAAGTACTAATAACATTAACGAAGGTTCTGTTCTGTTCAAGTCTCCTTCTAGGTCTTGACAGTGTGACAATGAGCCAGCAGCTTGCACAATACCAGGACCCTGGCTGACACCTGTGCTTTTCCTCCTGCCAATGTCTTCTGTGGAAAAGACTAATAAGCTAATATAGTGCTATATGCTATGGTAGTGCCATGTCAGCATTACTTTTTATGATTAAATTGAGTTGCACTTTACACTTTATGTACTTATAGTATATTATGACTCTGTTGTGAAATGGCATTACATTTGGTGAAGAGTGCACTATGGGACTTCACTTGTGACTTATAAAACAATGACTGGGTCCCACCTCTGGGTAACATTACTGGAGTTGACAACAACTCTTAACGTTACTGTACAATAATAAATATTATACTAATATGGATGATTATAATGAACTGCACTGTCTGGTGTAGTTTTATGTGCAGCTTCAGTGAGATGATGATGAAATGACTGATCCGTGTGTTAAGCTGGTCATTGGTTTCAGTTAAGCTAACTAACCACACAGCCTGATGAAATGTGAAGAAGAAAATGAGAAATGTTGCACAGGGCAAATAGATAATTGAGTTTACATATAACCAGCTTATTAAAAATGGTGTAATATTATGTATAAGGCCCCACATACCCTCACAGGTGTTTTCAGTGTTGCAGATTTGACCCATAGGTTGGCGTTATGTGAAGCTGTGCTGGAAATTACATAAGATCATCACTATAAACAACAAAACTAACAGGAGAGCCCCTGAAGTCCTCCCAAAATATGTTTTTATCTGGTTGCACACAATAATAACTTGCATGTACAAAATATCATCTTGTATGCATACGATTCAAAAATATAAATAATTGTTCGGTAACTTGAGGGCTCCATAATTCAACATCCAGAAAGGGGCCATGTTGCATAGTGAGTACTTTTACTATTGATATTTTACGTACAGTTTTGTTGCTGATGTACTTTTGCTCAAGTAGAATTTTGAATCCAGGACTTGTTATACTTTTACTATTTTCACACTGTAGTGTTCTTACTTTTACAGACGTAAAGGATCTGAGTACTGAGTGAATGCATATTCCATTTCATTCATTTTACTGCTCTGCATGACCTGGTCACTCCCTGCTTGAGAGTGAACTGAGTAGTCAAAAGTAAAATCAATGTTTTATGACCCTCTATTGTGAGCCAAATGTAAAGAGAAACCAATTTATGATCCACAAAATTTGACAGTAGAGACGGAGAGAGAGAACCACATACATCGGCTTTAACACACACACAACTAACAAGTTCAACACACACTTTCATAATGTGCCAAAGACACACACGCACACACACACACACACACACACACACACACACACACACACACACAATGGGTTTTTGTTTTGTGATATTTGTACAATGTATTTTTTCTTTTTCTTTTTTCTCTTTAATTCCTAATGCTTTGTTACTCTCATGCCAATAAAGCAAACTGAATTGAATTGAGAGAGAGAGACACAGAGCTCTCTCTCTCTCTCTCTCTCTCTTTTTGTGTGTGTGTGTGTGTGTGTGTGTGTGTGTGTGTGTGTGTGTGTGTGTGTGTGTGCGTGCGTGTGTGTGTGATGGTACTCTGTATCCCAGCATCCATCGCGGCCCCGCCCCTGGTTATCTCACTGACGGTCGCTCAGAGGGGAGGCCTCTTTCCATCTGGCTAACGTTAGATGAAAACTTGAGCACTGTGCACATAACGTTATATTGTGGTAAGTTCGTGTGCTGTTTAACATCAATACCGCTTATTGTCGACCGAAACATTTCGATTAGCAAACACTGTGTTTGTCGTAGAGCCACATAAATGTACTTGAGGTTAGCGTAGCTAGCTGTCCATACCAGGCGGGCTGCCTCTAACCGCCTCGCCCAGCTTTGCTCTCCGGTGTCCGGCTGGGAAACAGCTCAGATGTGGGACTAGTTGTGGTCGGAGGAGACCGGATGGTGAACACTGCTTTTACAGCTGCAGCTGACAAACGTCAGGAGTAGGTTGGGCTTTTTTTTTTTTTTTTTTTTTTTGCAACACAACTAGCTTGATACGTATTTACTTTGATTACAACATTATTAAAATAGGCTAAGCCAGTTGGCTAACGTTAACTAAATTACTTCTTTGCTAGCTTGGCTAAGTTAGCCTACTTAAGGTTGACTAGCTAACGTTAGTTAGCGGTTATTGTTTTCGACCATCCTCTATGAACAGCTCAGTGTGGCGTGTATCTGTCTCATGTGTATCATCATGTCCTGTAATCGGCTTTAGTTATTTCTGTCGGTGCACTGAGGCAGTGAGTTGGTAATGTTGCTGACTAAGTCGGTGTTATCTTGTGTTCATGGGGGCTCTCTGGTTAGCCATTGACAGCAGTGTACTGGAGCTCAGACTCATGCTAGTTTGGTAATGTTAGGGCTTTGCAGAGGGGCATTATTTGCAATTCCACACCAGCATCATGAACGGGAAATAAACCTAATAAATCTGACCCGTGCTTAGTTCCCCTGGTTATTTTGATCAGTGATCAGATTTTTGGCAAAGTGAAAAAGGTTCTTTCACTAAGTGTCACTGCTATAAAAAAGTTAGTAAGGTTCCCTTTTCACCACTTTCTGTTTCAGGCTTTCTCTTGTGTTACAATGGAGCCATCGGGAAGTGCTAGGATGTGTTCGTCGAGCAACCACACCCTGAACTCAACAGGTGGTGGTTGCCCATGGGAGGTCAGCGACAAGGCCAGACTGTGCCGGTTTCTCTGCTATGGCTCGGAGGGAGATATATACACTGCCAGAGAGGAGGGTCACGTCAGCATGGAGAATGCTGGAGCCCTGCTTTCCTTGCTGCAGGAGGGTCGAGGTGCTGAGGTGGTGGAGGAGATAAAAAAGTTCTGTCAGGATGGGCGAGCTGTCGGACTTGGCCCCTCCTTTTTTGCCTTGGCTTTGTGCTCCCAGCACTCGGAGGTGAAAACCAGACAGGCGGCGTTCAAAGCTTTGAAGGAAGTTTGTCGGGACCCTGCCCACCTGTTTTCTTTCATCCAGAACAAGAAGGAATTGAAAGAGGGGATGAAGTGTGGGATTTGGGGACGTGCCCTGAGGAAAGCAGTGTCTGACTGGTACAATGAGCAAGATGCCATGAGTCTGGCTGCGGCAGTGACCAAATGTAAACAGAGAGAGGGATGGTCACACCAGGATCTGCTCAGGCTCTCTCACACCAAACCAGCTAATGAAGGTGAATTTACGCAGACCCTCATTATACGCAGCTGTTTAGGGGATGGGCAAAAACATCATCCACTTCACATTACAATATCCCTGCCTTGCAATACATAACTTTTTCACAACATTTATCTTTTGGGAAGCTAGACGTATTAATTCAAGTCTGTATTTTTTTAGGACATTGTAGAATTTTAAGGAGAAATGCTGTTTTGAGTTTATAAATGATTGTTGGAGATGGCCGTTTTACCTTGCTACATTATATACACTAATTGTGCAGTATATGGGACTACTGGGTCAGCAACAGTAGTAGAAAGGCAGTTAAGTAAAATCCCAATATGTGTGAGCTTTATTAGAGATCTGACTTCACCAAGTGTTGTAAATGCTACTAAGTCAAGTGGTATGAGTCAGTGCCTCCAAAGTCGTAATAACAAACCGAAAACAGCTGTAATACCTTTTTGTTTTTATGTTACAAGCTACCACCTCAACTATGACCTTCAAGTTAAATTAATAAATTAATTTTAAGAAAATGAACAAATGCATGATCTTCACCAGCTTCTCATTTACTTCATTGCTACTGTGTTGTAAGATTTGTCTGTTCATTAAGTAAGACTGAATGGTCATATCTTTGTGTTTTCAGCAATCGCCTTGATCAGCAAATATGTGACAAAAGGTTGGAAAGAAGTCCAGGTTGCCTACTCGGACAAAGAGAACTCAGAAGAGGTTGTCAAAGTCCTTTCGTATCTTGAAGTGGTGGAGAAGGTCAAGCACAGTTGTGATGAAACAGAGGTCATCACTTTAATAGAAGAACACAAACTGGAGAGGGAACAGCTGCTGACAGACCACCTTAAGTCCAAACAGGTAATCGTCATTGTTGTCATGAGATTAAGACTGGAGGATTATTTTCAGTAACAAATGACACTGTATAATGGCAGTGAATGGTAATTAACAGTTTCCACTAAGGATTTTTCTGTGAGTCTGGGGGGTTTACATTTTTCACAGTTCAATGCTGTTTTGCAGCAGATTCTTTGTCATTTGGAAATAATCAATCCAATGAGAAGTGTGCCATTCTGGCTACACATTCAACTGCATTTCCCTGCATACTTTTCAAAGAAAGAAATAAACAATGAATATGTGTGGGGGCACATCCTTGGATGGGCTACCAAGGATGTGCAACTGTAGTACTCTGCTCCGTTTGGTATTATTCTGATTTAGGGATATGTGTTGTTTTTTTTTTTTCTGGAGGTATGGAGAGCTTTGTTGAAGGAAATGCCTCTCCAATCAGTGCTGAGGATCTTGGGTAAGATGACGTCAAACAAAATTCTTGAACCAGGAAGTCCAGAAACACAAGCTGTATGTGACAGAATCCAGAGCGAGGCGGCACTAAAGAAGGTAGGATCCGTAGATCTTGCTAATTCATTTACAGTTGTGCTTTAAATTAAACCTGAGTCAGTGTTCAAGTATTTAATGTCTGTCTTGAAATTACCAGGCAAAGATCCACCCTTTCAGCCTACTCTTGTCCTCTGAAAACTACAAAAGAGGCCAAGGCTATCAAGGTAAAACAAAATGGGAAGCAGACAGCAGCATCCTCAAAGCAATGGACTCTGCCTTTTACAAGAGTTTTATGGTAGGTTCTCCTCTAATTTTACAGCTTCTCAAATACTATCAAAGAAGACAGCAACCAGCCACATTAGCTAATACTGTTGCAATTCTGCCCTCAGAACGTGGAGCCTGTGGGTAAACGCTTCGTAGTAGCAGTAGACTTGAGCACATCACTGAGCAGCATTGTCCCAGGGACGTCAGTCAGCACCGCTGTTGCTGCTGCAGCCATTACCATGGTAAGATAAAACTAGAGCTAGATAGCTACACAGCGTGTGGCTAACTGGTGATCCAGTTGGAACAGCTGCGTCTGCCGCCCCATCTTTGGAGGAATCCTGGGTCAAGGAATTGGTCTGTTGATGCATGCTCTGGATTCCAGCGAAATACCTTCCGCATTGCGATTGTCTTGGCTGGACCCTCCAGGAGTTATTCGCTGAGAGAATTGTAATGCTTTTGTTGTGCAGCACTATATGTGCGAGAGAGAGAGAGAGAGAGAGAGAGAGAGAGAGAGAGAGAGAGAGAGTTTTTGCGATAGTGATGTCATGCTTTTCTTTTGACCTCGATCTCTGTGCTCAGATTTTTGCAAGGACAGAAGCAGACACGCATGTGCTGGCCTACTCTGAAGGAGCTTTGGTTCCATGCTCTGTCTCTGCTGACATGACTCTTGCACAAGCAACAGTTGAACTGGTTAAGGTAAGGCATGTCACAGCATCACAAATTAAGAAATTGATTACAATTACTGATCAGTATACTGTTGGAATTTAGGGAATTTTCCAACCATCCGTGACTACACAATATCTGTTAAAAAGTGTCTAACAAATGTAAGTCAGTTAGCAACGCATTCACTTTGACTTCTCTTGCTCTTGAACTCTAATTCAACTATAACTCTTCTGTGTTACAGATCCCGGGTGGGAACACAGACTGCACCCTTCCAATCACATGGGCTGCGGAGAATGGGAAAGTAGTAGATGTGTTCATCATTCTGACCAACAACCCGTTATGGGCATTTACTGCCAGCCCAGTGGAGTCTCTGAAGAATCATAGACAAGTATATTCATTCATTCATGTCTGCTTGGGGAGTGGATTTGATTGAATAATGTCTGCTCTGATAAATATTGCTTTTGAAAATAGGCTCACACAAGTAGGAGGATAGAATTAATTTGCAATTTGATGGTGAAGTGAATGGGATGAGGTTCTTTTTCATATTTATAGTAGAGCTGATCCCTGCGCTCCTGAATTTCCAGAATGTTATTGTTTGTTAGATAGACAGTTGTAATAGGGTTGAGTGATAGGACACAATCAGTTTTATGTAAAATTACCTGACAGTTACTAAGAGCACATCTATCTATCTATCTAGGTACCAAGTCCTATAAACTATAACTTTGATTTCTTTCTACCAAAATACTAATTTGTCATCTGCTCCCTTTAAAATGTTGTCTTTATCACAATAAGGAAAGTGTTATATTTTGCCTTTTCATCAGTATTATGTGCGTACATACGTACATGTGTTTTGCAAAAACAATTAACCAAAATAACATTTTCTTATGTGTATTTTCTCAACAGAAAACAGGAGCCAATTCCAAGTTGGTGATGTGTGGGCTGACTTCCATTGGACACACCATCGCAGACACAGAAGACAGGGGTTTACTGAACATCTGTGGCTTCGATCTTGGAGCCATGAGCGTCATTCGTAACCTCGCCCAGGATCTGATCTGATAAAGTATTGGGACTGCTGCTGGCCCACTTTGTTAAGAGTACAAAAGGAAGGCACAATGTGGACCAATATGGCTCACTTAGCATGTAGAGTGCCACGAAACAGCACTAATCCAAAAGATGTTGACAGTTACAATTCCAATTTCTCTTTTTGTATCACGTCGGTTACAAGTTAGTTGACAAAGTGTCCAGCGGGCTGGACAACACTTGAAATGTTGTGTGTGTATATATTTTTTCTGAAGTGTGAAAAGAAGGTGATAAGACACGATATGTAATTGCATATCATGCTGTCAATAGTTTAAGGTCTAACAGCGCTCCGTATGACGGGCTGTGCTTTGATGGTTTTGGTGAGACACTAACCCATTCAGCAATAAATTCCACTAATTTATAGATGTTTGCTAATTAAATAAGAGGAACAATGTAGGAGTCAGAATGTTTAAGGCCCAGTGCAAATGTAGGTTTATTTTGTGGGGATTTACTATAGTTTGTAGTATGTATCTATAATATGATTTTAGCAGGTTTGAAATGATGGTAGAGGCAGTTTAAATCTGAAAGCCTGTCTCTATGCTTTATGTAGCATTATTATAAATTATTAACAGATATACTGTTAGAGAGAGGAATTACAACAAAGCACCAAAAGTTGAAAAACTGCAATGTATTCTGATGACTTTAAGATCTTTGATTTAGCCTAGTTACAATTTTAGTAGTTGTATTAACAATTGTTTTGCCCTAAGCCAATGTTATTTTAAAACTGAGTTGTCTGTTTTGCTGTTGTCAAAGTTATTCTGTAAACAGAAATACCCTTGGTGCTCTTAAATGTGATCCATTTTGGGGGGAATATTTGGGATTTTCCTTTATGAAACAATAATGCCAATGTTTGGGACTGTAAGTCAGTTTACTGTAAGTTGGAGAAATGCACTTGTTCTCATATTTTAGTCTGAATTCTATGCATTACATGCATTGTGTAGGAAGGTTAAATCATAGCTATTTAACAACTGTTTACCAAGACTGAATCTGCTAGCACTCTTCTATATTTTTGATGTAAGAATGTTGGTTATGCAAAAGAGACGGATAATTGTTACCTGCCCTGGAAGGAAATTAATTGAATGTACTTTTGTAAAACATGTAACAGTAGAGATTTAAAGTACGCTGCTTTATATTTCTCCAAACAGAATAAACACACAATGCGTACATACAGAGTTTTAGCATTAGTGACACATTCATTTTGGCGAAATGGAAATAATGTGTAGTCAACAGCAATTGCTGTTATTACTGACGGCATTCACCAAACTTTTTACTGATCATTCATTCCCGTGAAATTCACTCGTAAAGAAGAAAAAAACATTTCTGACCACGTTACTGTGAAGGATTTTTGTCCACACATGCCGATACTGTCATTTTCAATGTTAAGACGAGGTCGAAATGCTATAAGCTAAAATATTTGTAGAATATGATCGTTGATAAAACTTTTGTAGTTGAAAGTCTGAGGTATGGTAGTTCCCAAGTGTTTTACCACCATGATTAACTTCTTTTCTATCATATTGTCTGATGTATCCATTTTGCTTAACATGCAAGTACTTGACTGTAGTGGCAATTAAAACCCCTAATAAACACTTTGCTGCTCTTTAGTCACTGTTGTGGTGTTGATTTTTTATGGTACAAATAACTGTGTGACTTCTTGAAAGCTACGTTACTGTCGTGTGCACACATCACAGACTGACTCCACTTAAAATTATGTTTTTCTTGTTCCTACAGTCAGATGTTTGATCTTCACTGTGCAGAATGATGTATGTGCAGAGTTTGACACTAGATGGATGTTTCCACATTCATCTGCTGAAAGTGGAAAGTTTCTGTGTTCATTGAAAAGGAGAATTCTTTTTTTTAAGGGGCGGGGCCTACGAGCATGTCATCACAAATAGTTAGGAAGTCCGTCCTGGTCCAGTATGAAACTTGTACAGTATGATGTAGAAACTTGAATCCACCAGTGCACATACACTGAGAATGGACTTTACAGTGAAGTAGGAGTCATCTTGTGTCCAGGCAGAATAACACTACAAATGAACAAAAAAATCATATTAATCATTTTTGGAATTTTTAATAAGATAGAAGCAGTAGATGTCTTTTTAAGGATTTTAATGAGGAAATTGTAAAATACTTTTTGCAGAAAATCACACACAAATGATCGTGCTAGGCAGACTATTTGTAAATATTATGTCTTAATAAATGTCTGGAGGGGAACTTTAAGCCCATCCTATGAAAGTGTCCTTGAGCAAGGCAGTGGGACTTCACCAGAGTTGTGTCTGCCAGAGCCCAAAAACTAATCTAAATTAAAAATTACATTTGTTTTTATTTTTTTTAACCCGCAATAAAGGGGAAATAAGTCTAAAAAGTTTCATTCAGTTCAGGCATCCTGCGAGGCCACATCATGTTGATAACTGGGGGCTTCGCAAACACACTACAACAAGACAAGTGAAGATGGCGGATGTGTTGAGTGTTCTCCGTCAGTATAACATCCAGAAAAAAGAAATCGTCGCTAAAGGAGATGAAGTTATATTTGGAGAGTTCTCCTGGCCGAAAAATGTCAAGACCAACTACATAATCTGGGGGTATGGCAGTGCTAAAATATGCATAAATGTCTCCTGTAGGCCCGCAGCTCCAGCTCATCGGTACCTTGTGGTGCTAGTAACGGCGGAAGGATCGCTAGCTACTAGATGCTAAGATGCTAACTTAACTCCTCTCCCCGTTGTTGTACTTTAAACTTTAAGCACCTTTGGTTACTCTGACGTGATATTTAAGTATTTTGCCGTAAACCGCAGAGCCTCTTTTCCGGCTTCGCGCGTGTCAATTTCTCTTTTTTTTTTTTAAACTTAAAATGTATTTATGAAAGCTGCAGCTAAAGTTGCAGTAGTAATGTGATGCTAACTAACTAGCGACGTGAGCTAGCGTTGAGTTGTGTTCCCATGGTGTCAGTGGTCCAGTGGTCCAGTGGTCCAACTTGTGTTTCTAGTTTCTATTGGCGTTACTATAAGCAGCCTTGGTCACGGTGCAAAGAGCAAACTCTGCTCTTGTAATGAAGAAAGATGAAGTTGCGCAAGGATTAGTAGATTAGCAAACCGGATAATTGTAAATAGTTCGGTGTGGAAGTAACGTTAATTTTATACTTTAGCCAAGTAACGTGAACGTAACTATATAATAGACTTGTGTAATTTAGATTCAGCGGAATGTGCCACCTGCAGCAGTTTTTGTACATCTCAGTCATATGTTATGATGAAATTAACTTGAGATTTGAGAGATGTTTGTTCTGTTCTTTGCTTGTGTTTCAGTACTGGTAAGGAGGGCCAGCCCAAAGAGTACTATACTTTGGACTCTATCTTGTTCTTGCTCAACAATGTGCATCTCCCGCATCCATCCTATGTGCGAAGAGCTGCAGTAAGTGCCTGGATTAACTATCAAACTTCCTTATCCTGTCAGTGTCAGTAATTAATTACTTATTTGAGGATACTCAAAATATGTTGTGTTGAGTGTTTTTTGGTGACATTATTGTATGTTGTTTGTAGACAGAAAACATCCCTGTTGTCAGACGACCTGATCGAAAAGGCTTGCTCTCGTATCTCAATGGCGAGAGTTGTAAGTAGCACCAGCGATATCTATTTTAATTGTGTTTCTATTGTGTGCAGAATTTGTTTGTGTGTCCTCCTTCACTGTACTTATACTATGACCTGATTTCATTTAAATTGTTTATTGACTAAAACATTATACATTAATGACCAGTTTAATTGATAAGTGAGGAGGAGCTTAGGTGTAGTTGGTGTAATTGGTAAGATGTTAATGCAATTTCTTATTTTCTCTTTTCACAGCTACATCAACAAGTATTGACAGAAGTGCACCTATAGAAATAGGTTTGCAAAGGCCAACACAAGGTGAGTTCACACCATATTTGCTAATGGCATTTGAAGAGCTACCTGTAGTAATATACAGGTGGAATGTATTGTTTTCTGAGCATAGGTCGACTGTTAGTAAAAGCTGACTACAACCTAACTATCTTGTTGCTATCTACAACATACTTCCTATTAGTTGGGTAGTATCTCAGTCAGCAAAACCAACTGGATGCAGTGAAATAATACACTGTTCTGCTTTTTTAGTCAAACGAGCAGCTGACGAGGTATCTTCTGAAGCCAAAAAACCAAGGATTGAGGTAAGCTGACTGAATGTCTTCTGCTGACAGTTGCTTAGTATAAACACTATACTCAACATGTTAGTGCAGCTTTAGAGCATTTTCTCCCGTATCTCTATTCCACTAGCAGAAGCAGTTCCACTTTAGTGAACAAGTGCAAATGTGAGCAGGGAGGTCCTGATCCAAAGTGAAGTAGACCAAAATATTTTTAACAATGTAAAAGAACAGAACAATGTTATTATCGTTATACATAAAGTTAATCATTTTGTTTATGAAATTGATCAAAGTGAGTATTAGTGAAAACTAATGAATCAGCACTGACCTGGTGCATCATTTATAGTGTTTTACTCTTTAGTTTGCTAATAATGTGTACACTGATTTCATTTTAAGGATGAAGAGCGAGTGCGTCTGGACAAGGAGCGTCTGGCTGCCCGTCTGGAGGGCCACAAAGAGGGCATCGTGCAGACTGACCAGATCAGGTATAATGGATTTGCCCCAGCTGTAATTATATACACTGTGCTTTCTGTATTATAAAGTAATATCCTCTCCAGTTTAAATTATTTCAACTCTGAGATTCACCTCTGATCAATAATCTTGATTGCTCTGGATGTCATGCTTTACTAGAAATTGATACCCACAGACCAGTTCCTCGAAGCAGTGAGCTGTTTGAATGATCATAACTTTTTTCTTCCTCCAGATCCCTGTCTGAGGCCATGTCAGTGGAGAAAATTGCAGCCATCAAAGCCAAGATCATGGCCAAGAAACGTTCCACCATCAAAACAGATCTGGATGATGACATAACCCTGAAGCAGAGAAGCTTTGTGGACGCTGAGGTGGATGTCACCAGAGATATTGTCAGCAGAGAGAGGGTCTGGAGGACCAGGACAACCATTCTCCAGAGCACTGGAAAGGTCAGAGTCCACTTTATCCAATATATCTATATATCCAATCACAGTGATATTTCTCTGCAAACTATTCTTTCTGTCCTCAATCAATCGTGACTATTCTGCGGCAAAAATAACCGAATGCACAAATATATGTTTTTAATTTTCAGCAGTGGAGCAACGCTGACACACCGTCCATGTCTTTTACATTGACATTACATTACATTACACATGACTGTGAAAGTCTTTCCAAACACATTGTAAGCTGAGGTACATTTCAAGTTATTCAACATGCCTTTTTTATAACCATGGAGAAATTTACACCCTCTTTTAATTGTAACCCTTTTGTATTGCTATAAAAAAAAAAAAACAAGGAAATACAGTCATGGGCACGTTCTATGCAGCGACACCTTCAAACAAAGCACACCTCGATATGAGAAGGTTTGCCAGATATGCATTTTGTGATGTGAACAATAGGGAACTCTTGCTGAATGAACAGTGCCGGGGTTCGCTAGAAACAAATTCCAGACCACCATTTGGAGCTTTGGAGACTACTTTGATTGAAAGCAGCTGTCCTATTTTATCAAAGCTGCTGTACTCTCAGGGACAATGGCTCTCCAAATAAAAAAACTGTGAAAAAAATAATAAGTGTGAAGCAAAGTGAAAACAAACACTCAAACACTAGATGGCAGCAGTAGCATGATTTTCATCCAGCTTTGTTGCGTTCTATCCTTCTGCCACGGTTTGGTTATCATGAGGCAAGACAATGTGAAACTCAGTCCACTGAAGAGTTTGGACACAGGATGCTGTAAAGGTCAACTATGTTGCCTGAAGACGCTGTAGTTATAGAGTTCCCATACAAGAAAGACTGAAATCTGTTAAAGACCAGCATTACATCCAGCTTTTTACTTTATAATATCAGGCTAAAACTCTAATGTGCCTGTAGATGGCAGTATGCATTGTTTTCTTATATAATACTGAATAGGCAATTTAAAAGCACATAGTAGTTACTATGCAGGACATAATTTTCAAATGTGTTTTAAACAATTTCAATAAAGGACAATTTCATATTTGTCTGTTTACATTAAGGATGGATGAGGCCTTCATATACTTACCTGTGTTGCTCCTTTGCAGAACTTTTCCAAGAACATCTTTGCCATCCTTCAGTCAGTGAAAGCCAGAGAGGAAGGGCGTGCTCCAGAGCAGAGACCAACACAGAACACTACTCAAGCGGTAAAAATGACGTCTGTGTACAAGAATATGTGATGCATAACAGGATACAGAGGCTGCGATTCAATGCATTGTTATATTATATTGCGATTTAAAAAAAAAAAAAAAAAAAGGAAATCTAATCATAGAAAAATTGTCATAGTACAAAGAACACACCACCATCAGTATTAGATCTTTTGCAACTAGAACAGTGGGATTCACATTTGTATTTATCACAGTTGCTGTAACATCCAACATCAAAGCCTTCAGTTTACGATGCTATTGGTTCTTTTTTAAATGTTCAGGGAAGTTTAAATAACTAGTGTTTGTATACTAATAGCTGTACACTAATAGAACATGACAAATCTTGACATTACCTGGGAGGTTGTGTAGAAAAGGTCAGTAGTTATTTAACTCTTTAGTGCAGCAAAGGGACTTCTAAGGCTTTGACTAAACGGTGTACTGACATGTATGTACAGTAGTTAATTGTTTGTGTTTCATGTTGTCTCCAGGACCCATCCCTAAGGAACAAGCAGCCTGTCCCAGCTGCCTACAACAGATACGATCAAGAGCGATTCAAAGGAAAAGAGGGTAAGTTTTACTTGTATTTTACTGGTATCAATAAACGCATGTAAATGCAAGATAAATGTGCATGTAGAGCGCATTGTAAAATTGCAATGTTTTTCTTAGGTGGGCACATTGAGTGTAAGAATTGAAAGGTGCCAACTCAATATTTGTACATTATCTTTTATTACACTTGTGCCTTTGCAAGGAACCCATTTTCTTCTGCCAATAATCTGCAAATTATTGTGTGGTGTTTTCCTAGAAACTGAGGGTTTCAAGATCGATACCATGGGAACCTACCACGGCATGACCCTGAAGTCAGTGACGGTAAGCTCAAAGCTCTGCTGTTTGCTTGATAGTGTTGTAAGATGGCTAATCCCAGAGCTACAGTGCATGTGAATTCCACTTCAGCAAAGAATTCATTTTATAATTATTGGTATCTCCTAGAGTAGCAGCTAACCAAGCCAATAAGTATTAAACTAACAAGGTAATGTGTCAAAAGGCAGAACTTTTTTGTTATTTTCTCAAAAGGAGGACAAATGAGTGTCATTTAGTGGCCTAAAGCCGGACGAATGGCCACCCTACTCCGTGTCTTGTTGAGATGAAGATGACGACGCTGATGTTGTAGACGCCGGCTTCTTAAAAACAGTGCAGTTGTCCACCCTGAAGTTTGTTCTGTGCATGATGAGGTGCTTCATCATGTTGCTAGTATTCCCCGTTTTCCCCGAAATAATCTTGCCGCATTTGATGCATTTATTTGTACCCGGCGCCACAGGCGTGTAGTACAACCATACTTATGAACGTTTTGCTGCCTGCATCTCGGAATGCCAGCCAACTCCGCCACAGACTAAGCGCGCACGCTTTACCGCCATTCAAAGCAAAACCATAGAAACAGTCATTTTTTTCTTCTTTTTCTTTTTTTTCTTCTTTTTCTCTTCTGGGTAGTGGGTACAAAAAGAACCGATTGCAGGTAGGGATGCACCGATCCACATTTTTTCATTTCCGATCCCGATACCTGAATTTGGATATCGGCCGATACCGATACTATTCCGATACCAGAGCTCTGTTTGCTTTAATATTATTATTATTATTATTATTGTTGATTTTATATGAGGCTGAAATAAACTCCTCAACAGGCCAAGTATGATATGTACGTATGTATGCATGTATGTCCCAAAAGGCAACTTGAGGTGAGTATAAGGTCAGAAAAGGAAGTCAGAATAACAGGAAATCCTATTAACAGGAAAAATCCCATCCTGAAAACAAATATGCAACTGTAAGGGTTTCAAATTGATTGTCATGTCAATATTTATTAAATTCCCAAAATGTCAAATATTTGAAATATAAGAAAAGTGCAATAAGTGTAAATATCTTACGCACACACACACACACACACACACACACACACACACACACACACACTAATCCCTTTAGCTTTCACGTTGTCTGCCTGGAGTTTACCTTGTTTTTGGAATGACTCCAGAAGTGATTCCTGACAGCTCCTTCTGTCTTTCTGCCCCTGCTCTTCTTCTTCTTCTTCATATGGATTTCCGGCACTTTAGACGCTTTTAGGCGTATTACTGCCCTCCTCGGGAAGTCACTCTTAGGATAATGTTACTGCTTCAAATTTTCATATATAGCCCTGTATCGTGTAAGAACTGTAATACTACTTTAACAATCAAGTGGTGGTTCTCCTTTTGACCCAACAATCCTTGTGCTCTTTCGTGTGGTGCTTTATTAAATGTTTGATTGCGTTCGTAGTGTTGTACGACGCGAGGGAGCTTCCGCCTCTCTGAATCACGGCTTTGCTAGCTGGCTGCAAACTGCAGAATGGATTCCTGAGCGGAGGCATGTCTCATAACTCTGTCTCATTGAGCCGCACCTCCGTTCAGGAAATCCATTCCACAGTTTGCAGCCAGCTAGCAGACTGGCCGGCAGGAATCACCTGTGGAGTCATTTCAGCAGACAACGTTAAAGCGCAGACATGGCTCATGGATATCGGATATCTCCGCAGGTTGGATCGGGAAAATCCAATACTTGAATTACGCCGGTATCGGTCCCTATACCGATACTGGATCGGCCCCATCCCTAATTGCAGGTATCGTTTGACAGGCGCAGTTTCGATACTACCTGGTACCGGGTTGATTCTGAACCTGAAAAGTATCGAGATACCCAGCCCTAGTAATAACGGGAACTTTTGTGCTACATTATGTCCTCAAATGTAATTTCCAAACATAAATATTGTATTAGGTTGATACATAAAAAGTGGCTTGCCCCAATCTCTAGTAGCTGACGTCATGCGTGAACTAACTTCTTTTGAAATGACTTCATTGACTATTTGATGCACATGTGGGAATATTTTTATTGGCACTATACCCTGTGCACATTTATAAAATACATACCGTAGATCTTACCTTATTGCAAAAAAATAGATTTTGCATCACAGTCAAACTTATCCTTTTGTAAATATAACCATGTACATAAAATCTCTAGTAATTTCACTCACAAAAAACATTTTTCATCTCTTGTGTACAAAATTGGCAATCATTTAGAGCACATCATTAGTTTTTACACATCTATGCAGAATTTCTATTCAGTTCCCATATCCCCATTGTTTTATGAATCCCTTGATATCAAGTAAAGAAGAGCATGTGCTGAGATTTTTTTAACAGTAACATTTTCAGTTATCAAGCAGGTTTCTCTTTCATTCTGTGTGTGTGTGTCCTGCCTGCTCTCACCCTCATTGTGTTGATGCAGGCATTGAGTTTGTTGCTCTGCAGGTGATGCCAGTATTTCAGTAGTTCATTGGGATGAAACCCATGTGACGTTATCAGATGGCTGTACTTGCAGCTGGAATAAGACACCCGCCAGTGGTTGAATAGGAACTCATTGGATGGAGGAGTGGGCTCGATCTGGAGCTTGGCCAGGCATATCCCCACATACACATCCTCCAGATGCAAGTGAGGGACACTTAGCGATGCTCGATAGATTTTCCTTGCCAAGTCTCCAGAGAAGACGTAACCAGTCCCAGAGCAGAAGGTGGGATACTTGTCACTTGGGTACAGCTCAGGGGGCATGTACCACTTGCTGTTTTTGTTTCGGTTGGGTGCAAAGCCTCTCATGTTATTTCCGGTGAAGTAGTTCATTCTAGGCTTAATTTCTGGCCTGAGCAGCTTGTAAATTAGGTACTCTGTGTTGACGAACATGTCACTGTCAGTCTTCATGACATAGCTGGCTTGTGGGCAGTGAATTGCCACCCAGTTCATTCCCATCAATGTCTTAATGGTCAGGTTTTTATAGGAATCCATAAAATCTTGCTGAATTATATCGTGATATCTCCGGCTTTCTGCTTCTAGCATCCTCTGTTGTAAAAGTCCCAGCTCTCCCTCATTTTTCCCCAGCAGAAACAGCCGGATGAATCCCAGAGCCGGAGCCACACTCTCATTGCCCCATGTCTGCCGTATGGCGTTTCTTGCCTCCACCTGCCGAGCTTCAGTGGCTATCAGCAGCACTAGAAATGGTACAGGCCTGCTCTCTGCACATTTGTCTGGCTCATTGATGATATAAGTGAAAGGCCCACGGGTTATAGGGCCACTAAGTTCTCCCTCTACATTGGCTGCTGAAGTGTTCTCAAAACTTGGGTCACCTGGAGAAGAGGAGACACTCAGCTTCTCATGGGAGTTGTTGTTGGCAACAGCCTTGAAAGTCGGCTGAGGAACAGTGACAAACCTCCACGCTGAATGTTGAGCACTGACGTTCCACTTGGCTTTGGTGGCATGATGTTCACCACCCCCGTACACCACGGGATGGCGTCTCCACCATGGCACACCTGTGACCCTAGGCAGCCACACCTGGTGGACCAGAAAGACCAGTACACCCAACAATGAGAGGAGATATAAAAGTTTAGCTGTGTATGTACAGCAGTGACGTCGTTTCCACTGCATGGTTAGGGCATGACTAATTCAGCCAGAAAGTTGTCATTGTAAGGCCAGTTGTCAGCTGCTAACTGACTTCCCATATATACAAATCACTTGGTTTTGGTCGGCCAAGACAGCTGTAAGGTGCCAGGAGTCCACCCTAACGTTGCATCTCTAGTGATTGCCTAGGAGACAGAGGAGAGTAATAAGATAAGACAAGTTAAGCATGTAACATTAAAGCTGCTATAATCAATCATTTTTATATTGACAACAGATGGATAACTACATGTATGTGAAAGGTGGCACTTTCTTTGTCTTTTGTAGAGAACTATCACACAACTCTGCACTTCCCCTACCCTCTGTAGAGTGTCAATTTTTTTCCGCTGTGGTTCACTCTTACTAATCTTTAAGCATCCACCACTGCACGCTACCTGCACCAAACCAAGGGCAAACAAAATATGCAACTAGCTGGTGAATTTGAGATATTTTCCAGGAAATGGCATAAACCAAGACAGAGCTAAAATGAAGGTGAATATCAGACTTACATCCGTCAGGTGGCCAGAGGCACATCTCCAAATGAATGATAACATTGCTTAGTAACTTCTGGGTGTGTAAAGAAGCAGCTGTTTGCCCGCACGTTTGACATATAAACTTGAAAAGTAAAAGGTCACTGTTGTTTACAACTAATTTTCCCGGCCTCCAGGTGTTTTAAAAATCTTGTAATGTTTTATGATTCTAGTCTTTAGTTGAAATGTCTCCCACAGTCTTTGTTACCTCCTGTGGTGTTAGGATAAGTAAAGAAAATGAAGGTGATTGTGTAATGAATTTAGGGTTTGTGTATTCTGCACAAAGGTTTTCCCCTTTGTAATGGTTTTATTAAGTATGCATTTTATATTCCAAAAATAAATGTTCTTCCTGTTTTCAGTTGGTAGTGTCTAGCCGTTACAGTCACATCCACAGGATGACTAATTGTTCACTGAACTTTGATTCAGGCATCATAATCTTCAGTAATTTGGTTAAAAGGCTATTCTGCTATCTCAACTCAGTTTTTTGCTCTTGAGCACTATCCGGATTAGGATTGGTTTTTGAAAGAACAGCCTATGTTTGCGGGCTGCTAGCACCCTGAAGTGGAGTGTGTTCTCTCTGTTTTTTACTGAATTACACACTACCCTCTTAAAGGACCCCAACAAGACAAAGAGTAGTTTGTGAGAGCTCACAGAAGCACTGAAAGACTTCTGTTGGCTTTCTTGCATGCATCAACTGAAAACGAGTGTTTCACTTGTAAAGGCACACCCTTTACATCCTGTGTAGTACATTAAAACAGATCGGTTTTGCAGCATGCAATATTTCCTCAGTGTAGCATTGTGCTAATGTGTGCGTTTGCATTTTAAGCCTTCACAGCATAAACTCACCCGTTTAAATGTAGGTTCCCCCTCTGCCTTTGCGCATTGTCCCCAGAGGCTTGATGCTAACGGTGCTATGCTGCTGCTGCGTTTGGCCGGAGGGAGTAGAGAGCTGCAGCCCTGGGTCCTCTCATTGTCCTTGCTTGTCGTATTGTGTATATCAAAGCAGCAGTTGAAAGATGAGGTTTATTTCTGATGCATAAGATTTGCATCTCTCTGTATTACTGTGCTGATCCCTGTTTCCTCTCTCTCTTCGTCTTTGATTCACATGCTGTCATGTTAACTTCCCTCCCCCCATGTGCTTCGCTTCCCTTTTTTTTGATTCCACTCTCACCCTCCTCATTTAACAGCCCCTTGCATTCTGCTCTGTGCTGTCGTGTTGTCTGTAAGAGGGCTAGAGGGGTGGGGGGTGGGAGAGGAGGAGGAGGAGGAGGAGGAGGAAGATGAACAGGAGGTAGCGCTACGAGTTGTGTGTTCGTTCTGAAAGGCAGCTTCAGGCTTGGTGGCAGTACGCTCCCCCACCACGTCACGCCGTCTCTGCTGCTGTTGCTGCCTGCTCTGTTAAAGGGGAGGGGGTTGGGCTGCTGACCTATTTGTATTCACGCCCACTCTCTAGAAAGGAAATAAGCATTATCTCTGTTTGGCGTGCTGTCAAGTAAGAGGAGAGGGAAGAGAAGCCTTAATGTCGGCACTTCCGCAAATCTTAAAGGATTGCGTATTACCTCATTGAACAGATCTGAAATGGGTTCTTACTTGATGGGCAGTGCAGAGTGTCTTTTAATGTGTCTCCTGCCAATCTCTTGTACTGGATAATGATTAGAACACTATTTACAACAATGTTTGTGCACTCATTCGGCCGTGGTGGTCTACAATGCCCGAATGTTAATATTCAGGCATTGTCATTTTGAGACTGCCCCAGTAAGACTTTTCATGCTTAGTATTGTACCGTAGTATTAGTCTATGATGCAGGGATTATCAGAGCACAAAATAATAAAATAGTCTATGCTTAAGTTTAATCTCGTTATAAGATGATGGTTAGACAAACAAAATAATATATTTATATTATATATATAATTTGTTTTTATATATATCTTTTATGTATATTTATATATATTTTAATATATATTTATTTTCTCTCTCTCTGTCTGTTGTCACTTTGCATACTTGAAAAGGGGCAGAACGAGATGCAGATTGTCCACTAGTTAATTAAACTGCATCTTCCACAGGATAATACAATATACAGAATACATGCTTTAAGAAATGTAGAACTTGTTAGAGGTAGTTGATCGATTGAAGATATTTACTGGGAAAGAAAGATGCTTTGTTTACATTTGCACCCTTACTAAGACCCTTGATGGCAGAAATGACATACTGTACATTTAAAGATGTATGTTTATGAATAAGACCCTTGGGTGTTGTGTTTTCCAGGAAGGAGCATCTGCTCGGAAGGCCCAGACCCCAGCGCTACAGCCTGTCCCTCGTCCAGGTTGGTGTCCACATACATTCATGCACATGTCTGCCTACAATGTTACTGTAAAGTTTGAATAATGTAAATTTGTTTTAAAAATACTTTGCAAATGTGCAGTACTGAACAGTGGGCAACGTGTTTCGCTTGTAGCTTCCTCAGCTTCGCTCAACAAAATTGCATGAGCACTCGCAGGTGTGACAAATAGGCCGCATCTGGGTCACATGACCGGTCATGTCCCATCACAGTCTTAATTTTTCATTTCAAAATGTTTTATATATTTTACAAATGTGAGAGCATCAAAAACATGAAATACAAAAATACATGCAAGATAAATTTAAGAGCAGCATGATTAATCTAACAGAATCACAAGAATTACACATTACATACAACATGACATACAACAAGGAGACTTGTGTAAATGTACAGCTGGAATATCCTGTGGGTCCTACCACTGTCCTTGTACACCACTAAATGGGAAGGCCATGGGACCTAGTGCCTCATCTCTAAATGACCTGTATAGAGAGATATAACATGACATTAATGTCACAAAAAACATTGTGTCCATAAGGTTAAATTGTGTTCAGTTCATAAATACAAAAACCCTCCCTTCCTAAGAGCTGGCTAATCAAATTACCCCCTCTTGGATTGGGTGACACCCTTTCAATGGCAATGAATTTGAGGGAAGTGGCTGAACCATGGTTTTTCTCCCTATAGTGCCGAGCAATGGTATAATCCATGTTACCGTTCCTAATGGCCGCTTTATGCGCGGCAACTCTTAGTTTAAGATTACATTTAGTTTGGCCCACATACATTAAGCCACATGGGCATTTCAAAACATAAAGGACATGAGTGGAGAGAGTTCCTTTAAGTCATACTTATTTCCTGAGTGTGGGGGATTGAATGTCTTAGTATCAAATGTGTTAGAACAATGTGCACATTTCCCACATCTGTAGTTCCCATAAACTTGAGAAAGCCAATTCATTTGTGTGGGTTCCTTATACATAGCACTGACAACAATATCTCTCTGCCTCTCTTGAAGAAAAACTGTGTCAGGTTGACAAATGATTTAAACTTCTCACATTCTAAAATGCTCCAATGTTTGTTAATAATCTGTTTGACTTGCCTAGACACACCGCACAGTATTCCGAAACAAAGGTAGGTAGGTTTGTAGTATGTCTGGAAGGAGGATTAATAATTCGTCCCTGTCCCTTTTTTGTTGTTTTTTTTTTCGATGGTTTGATCAATAAGTGTCTGGTCGTATCCACTTTGTCTAAATAGTCGACTTGGAAGAAAGCGAACGTTTTGACAATAAGCTATATCAACACAACAGTATGTGGAGTTAAACTGGACAGCCCCAATAACCTCCGAATAGTTCTACTTGTTGTTAAATTGCAATGTGAGCGGCAGCCAACAGGGGTGCATTATGTCGGCAGGATCATTGAAAAGGCAACCGTGACTACATTGTGTGTCTGCCCCATTTCTGATACCATGGCAGCAGAAATTTAACAGCGGCGGGCCGCCGCTCCAAAATCTTGTATGTGTGTGAGACACACGTTAGTGGTTTGTTTTTCATGCTTACACAGCATTATCCTACCAATCAATTAGTCACAGTCTTCAGACACTAGCAGCTGATACAGTTGAGATTTTTTCTGGGATTTTCTAGGGGATTTCTTCTTTCCACATTATTAGCTACTAGGCAATGGAGGGGTGGTGCATTTATACGACATGACCAGGTTTTTTACTTATGATATTTTTGGCACTCACAGAGAAAAATTAGGAAGGTCGACTTTTTCCTCACATTACATATTAACACATGACCATACCATAGAAATATGCAGATTACTGGATGAAACTGCCTCTGTGAAAGGGACTTTTGTTTGGTGAGAAGAATCACATGTCTGTTTGTTCACTCCTCAGCAAGTACTGACCCAACATGTTCCTCTGCAGTTTTTTTCTTTTTCTTTTGAGATTATGTGAGACCACATCAAAGCAGCGTCACTCTGTGCTGTGAATGGTGACTATATTTGTATATAGTGGCTCCTTTTTATTGTCTCTATTTCTTATCTTTTTATATTTTCCTACGCTTGATTGTGATTCTTATGTACCAATGCAAATTCCTTATATGTAAAAACTTACTTATCAGATTATGAGGACCTGACTGGCTGACTGTGGCACATTTGCCCTATAGCGGTGACATTGAATAATCGAGAAGCTCAACTGTTAGATGAAAGATGTGAGGAACGCAGGCATTCACCCCTTTTGCTAGCAGTCTTTTATCTCTTTGACTTTATTTTAGCTTTTTAAATGAGCTATCTGCAGTCAGTAATTGTCGAGAAATGGTTCAGCTATACCTCCAGCTAAAGCATTTTATATTTTTACTAGTTATTGTAACTTAGTAGTTAGTGAAGCCGTTCAGCACAACCCTATTCATTTAAAAAAATACTGGTGGGAAAATAAATCATAACAGGATTAATCTATAGCAGGAGAACAGCAAAGCAGTTTCATTCAGGATCATTTGTGTCATTATTTTTCAATTTTTTTTTCTCTCTTTTCCCCTCTAGTTTCACAAGCCAGACCACCACCAAACCAGAAGAAAGGTACATTACTTTCACTCAGTTAGATACTATGTTTTTAGCATTCATGTAAAATACACTGTACTGTACAGTATGTAATACTCCTAGCTAACCATTCTTTGATGTGTAACGTGCGTGCCTCTATTTGACTATCTGTCTGACATTACCCATTTTTCTTAATTACTTTCTCGACAGGGTCCCGGACGCCCATTGTCATCATCCCTGCTGCCACCACCTCACTCATCACAATGCTCAATGCTAAGGATCTTCTGCAGGATCTAAAGTGAGTGTACCTACCTGTTGCTCTTTTTATCTTTCTGTTTATCTTCATTGAATCTGTTCACTGTTGCACTTCCATGAACGAGAAGCGTCAAATTTCCCATTGGATCGCTTTCTCCATGTCCTATGTGCTTTTTAGTACAGGTCGACTTATCGGTTTGGCCGATTAAAGGGCACTGATATGAAACTTGGCTAGTTATAAAGATGGTAGTGGCCAATGGCTGCACAGCCTCGATGGGCTTTCACTTACTGCCTCATTCTGAACTTGGAGTGTTGTCTGAATCATTTGATTGCAACCATCGTATTAGAATGCGACTAACTGATTTTGATTCTGCGATTGAGTTTCACCTACAGCTCCTACAGAGTCTTTGCATCTAAAAATGCCAGGAGAATTGATAAGGATAACTGTTTTTCTCTCTTCTTATAAAACTATTGCTCATTTTAGCTCACTGTATTCTTTATGGTTGCAGACATTAACTCGGGGTGCAAACAGCTAACGTGGTTTCTCAAATTTGTTGTATTACCAAAGTATTTCATTTTTGTGAGACAATTTCCACACAGTCTTGTCCAGTTCGTGCTTCCCAGTAAGTTCATAAAATCTGAATCAACAATCAACGTTAGTAGGCTATAACTTTGTGTAGGCTGCAAACTCCCAATTGTCACTGCATCGATCGATCTTATGCAAGCTTAAGCCTATTGTATTCCTTCCTAATTAAATTGAAGTACACATAAGCATATCATGTACTCAATGCACACTTTGCTTTGTTACACCCAGTGGTACAATTTCCACTTTCTCTGTAATTACAGCAATGAAGTAATGTGCTAACAGGATGATGACAGTTCATGATTATATAACAACTGCATGAGAGGCAGCCCAGATGAAAAGATGAATACACTTTTAACACTATTCATTGTAAACTGTGATGTAACAAGGGATTACAAAGGATGAAAGTCCAGTTTTGAATGCGACAGGGATAGAATCGGGGCTGGAAAAGATCGTCTCGTTAATAAAACACATCATCTATGCTTGAAATTATCTACATACAGCAGCTATGATGAGAGCCAGTCCCAAAGGAGAAGAAATGTCCTGTGATAATGTTGGCCAGGCATAAATTATAGGGATATGAATTACATTTCTTTGTGGATTTGGTGAGATTACATATTTGCCAGCTCAATGTAACATGTTACTCATGTTAGACTGACAATAGGACAATGGAAACAAACACATATTTGCATATTACACACTTGACCTGTTACCAAAAATGGCTGGCGGCACCGCTCATAAACTTTCTCTATACTCACCACCATTTTGAAAACTCTCAACAGAGATGAGAAGGAAGCAAGATGGCTCACTACTTAGCTACTTCCATCATCAGCTCCAGAAAAAGCTCATTCTTTATGCCAAATTTCTAGCCTGAAGTGGCATTTTACTGCACACTGGCAGTCCTTAGTGTTGAGCCCTGGGATCTGTCAAAGCCCCTGATCACTTCTTTAGAAGATTAAGTATATCGATTATTAAATAAGCAACCAATAACGTTTAGAAAGTTGGAACCAAGTATGTTCTAAGTGCATTTAGCTTATCTACACTGCTGGAATAATGCAGCCTAGTAAAAAAAATAAAATGGGCTTAAAATAATGACTACTATGTGTTGTTTTTTTGCACACCTGCCATGTACTAAAAAGTGCTATTACCTGAAATTAGACTGGGTCAGAACAGGTCACATTATTAGGCAGCTGGCACTAGAAACCGATGCAAGAACAAACAAAGCAGTCTCTCCATTCAAAATGATTCAAATGAAGCTATGATAGAAGGTTTAGGTGATAACATCATATGCTGAGCCACCCATGACTTTCTTTTTATAAAACGTGCATAGAACCAACCTGCTGATAGTGAATCATATAATACCTCTTTGATGCAAGTACCAAAAGGGATATTAAGTGAGTTACTGGCTGCACACCTCCCTATTTGTTACTGTTGCTTTGCCTGTCGAGTCTTCCTGACAGCGGCCGTTTTACCATTTAAAGATTCTTCTAAAAAACAATTTTAAAACAATGTGTCACTGATTTCAGACAGAGGTGCACCAAAGCAGCTGTTGATCTGTTTTGTTGGCTGAATGACAACTGTCGCTATGATCCGCTGTAGTTAGCTAGATAAGCTAATGGTAGCTCCGTGAGTTGGTTGAGTTGCAACCTTTTTAATGCAAGTTGTTACCTCACAAACTGATGTAGGTAATTAATGATCTCTTGGCTTTGGTGGTAATGCGGTGTTGTATGCTAGTTAGACATGTTAAAGAAAGTCAAAAAATATAGAAAAAAGAAATGAGTATAAACATTGTTTGTACCGTACCAGGTTTGTGACACCAGAAGAGAAGAAGAAGCAGGGCATCCAGCGCGACAATGAGGTCCTGCTTCAAAGACGCAAAGACCAGATCCAGCCTGGTGGCACAACACTGAGTGTCACTGTACCTTACCGCATCATCGACCAGCCGCTCAAACTGGCTCCACAGGACTGGTGAGCATGTATTTCATTTTTGTTTAATGATTTGTTAAAATGTTTCCACCAAGCAGGAACAGGAACACTAAAAATATTTAATCATTTGTACTAGTTTCTTTTACTTTGACCCGGTTTGATGAAGTACTCATTTTTTGTATAATATAATCACATACATTCGTGTGTTGTCTATTAACGTATGCAAAGGATTTAATCTTAAATTAATCTTTTTCCACTAAATATTCTGTCTTTCGGGGGGAGCACAGCCTGTTGTTTGCCTTAGTCATAGCATGAAACGACCACTTGTCAGTCCACTCCTCAGATGGCCCGGCTGTTGACGCCAGCATCTGAGAGTCTGAGTCATTAGTGCTTGACAAATATGACTCAGGAGATTAAACATGCAGTCTGTGTTATAAGCACAAGTATTGCGTATTTTTCCAAAATTGTGTTATTGTGTAGTTCTGTTGGTTGTGTGGTGAGAGGTTTGTGTTTGTCTTTTCAGTTTCTTTCTTTCCCCATTTCCTCTCTGTTGCATTTTCATTACGTCCTCTCTACCTTTATAGGAGCAGGACATTACATCCTGCTATCGTTGTGCTATCTTGCCTAATATTTAATATAATCTAATATACTTTCATTTAAATGTAATCCCTCAGTATAAAGTGAATTAAATCTACAAGCTAACAACAACATAAACAAACATGTAAAGTCTCTTAAACATCAACCTGTGAATGTTTCTTCTGCAGGGACCGAGTGGTGGCTGTGTTCGTGCAGGGTCCTGCCTGGCAGTTCAAAGGTTGGCCGTGGCTGCTTCCTGATGGATCACCTGTCGACATTTTCGCCAAAAGTGAGTGATAGAGATGAGCAAGTACACTGTTATCTGTATATTTTCAATCAGCTGGGTTTTACGACGGAGTATTAGGGCCAGACTAAGAAAAAAAGTGTTGTACATTTTTTGGGGAAATTACGAGAATATAGTCATAATATTACGAGAATAAAGTCGTAATAATTCGAGAATAATGTAGTCGTTTTAATGAGAAAAAAGCTATCAAAGCTATAAAAAGTTATCAAGATCTGACGTGACCGGCTCAACCAAACAGCAGCCTCAGCCTGAGCCCAGCAGCCGCTGTTTGTCTCAGTAGTACCGTACAGTCGACATGTAAACTAACGTATTGATCATTTCTTCGTTAAACAGTTTTGCTGGCTGAGCCAACAGGCTGACAGTTCTCATAAAATTGCGACTTTATTCTCGCAATATTATGACTTTATTCTGGTAATATTACGACTTTATTGTCTCAATATTATGACTTTATTCTCGTAATTTCCCCCCCCAAAAATATTTTTTTCTCTTGGTATGGCCCTAATACTCCGTCGTAGGGTTTAAACCAGACGTTAAATTGAGCCTGATATTGATCAGAAGTTGCTATATTTATTACAAAACTATTTACAGAACAGCATGAGAATTGAGCTTCAGAGCAATGTTTTTGATCACAGTAGCAAGAGAACTATTTACAGAAGTTTCTCTGCCTCTGCACCAGCGATGTGTTAATGTTTTTGGGTTGTCCGTCCGTCCCTCACTTGTCGCCATTACTGCACTGGCAGAATCACATCATCCCATTCACTGACAGTGGAAATGAGAGCTGTTTTGGTTGATCACTGTTGCCGATCACTTCCTCCAGCAGATTAAATTAATAAACTGAAACAATCAGTTGATCAACAGAAACTTAATCTGCAACTATGTTGACATTGATTGAGTCATTTTTCAAGCAGAAATTCCATTTAAATGTTAAATGTTCCAACTTCTTCAATTTGAGGATTTTCTATTTTTATATGTTTGCAAACTGTTTGGGTTGTACGATTATATTATGTGGAAAATAGTATTTTAGATTACAGCCTTTTTCTATAAGCCTATTTGTAACATGCAACATGTTCCACAGGATCTCCTCGTCATTTTCTTTCCACACATTGCGGTGTTATTGCGTAGATTTAAAAGTGTGGTGCCACCACTGTGATGGCTCAACTCAGATTATCTATATAAATGTGTGTGTGCGTGTTTCCCCTCCAGTTCGAGCCTTTCATTTGAAGTATGATGAGGCAAAGACAGACCCCAACGTGCAGAAGTGGGATGTGACCGTCCTGGAGCTGAGCCGCCACAGGCGCCATCTGGACCGGCCTGTCTTCCTGCGCTTTTGGGAAACCCTCGACAGGTCTGTCTTTATTTTTGTGCATGTTCATGTATACCCATCTGTTTGTTGGCCTCCTATGCTACTGTTATTTGTTACTTGTAGAGAATATTTCTTTTCCATTTGTGAATACAACAGCATTGCACACACTCACCTTTCTTCCCCTCTCTTTTTTTGTCAGATACATGGTGAAACACAAATCTCACCTCAGGTTCTGAGCCCAGATCACAGCGTCCATCTCTGACCTTCCAGCTCTCCTCAGTCCCCTTGCAGAGGTAGCCCCTCTCATCCAAGCTGCCATCTCATCTTCCGACATGATCCCCATTTTAATAGGAGAAGGAGGACAGATTATCCAGTGGACTTCCTCCAACACTTCCTTGAGGACTCCTAATGCAATGCAATCTGCTGGATATGTTGCTCTGGACACCAGAGAGGAGATTTAGGGGATTTTTGTGTTTTTGTTGTAATTGTTTTCTAATGTTTTCATGTAGTTAAAAAAAAAATACCAAAATATGTTTTATATAAAAAGGCAACATACTGTGGAAACAATTTAAATGAGAGATTAAGCAACATGGTGGGGTCGGAGGCAGAGGACGTTTGCATTTTTGTTAATGAATTGTCAGTGAATTCAATTCAGAAGTGTTTAGATTGCAAGAAACGTGAAAATGACTCTTGGTACAAACAGAACAGCCACTGAGTTTGAGGAAAGAGACTTCCTATACACTTATCCTTTTTTATTTTGGGTGTTTGTGGTCTGAATGTACATATAAGATAAAACCTGTCAGAGCCAAAGCTCTTTGAGCAGAGAGGAGGATGCAGGTAAGTGCTTTGTTAATAATTCAGAAAACTACTCTGCTCTGGCTAAGTAAAATGATCTCTGTCTGTTCCTAGATCAGTTTTTGACAGATCAGCACATTTCTGGGTCATGCAATGACCTTGTTAAAGTCTTTTTTTTTTTTTCCCCTTCTTTGTTGGTGTTGTGCTAGAGGAGAAAAGTGATGGAAAGTATTGCTTTAAGTCATCACATGAAAATAGACAATAAAGCCTCAGAGAAACAAATATGTGTGCTGCCTGTAATAGATAATTAGTGTTCACTTTATTAGTAATCTTTTTGTCTCTGTTTAGATTTTATTTTATTGTAAAAGAATGAATACCTGCAGTGAAATCCCCTTCTTTAGGGGACGGGAAACCAGGTTTAACCCCAGATGTCCCAGCTGTACTGTGTTGTACTGTTGTCATTTTATTGCTCGTAAATGTCTTTGGGAAGTCCTGTAAAAGGAGCCATGTGTCAAAATCTAGTTCTAACACTTTTAGTATTGTAGTTTATATTGTGCTAAAATGGTGCATACTGATTGTAAATCACAGTTTTGGACAGTTGGGCTCGGCTGAAACAAGCTGTGAATTCGTCATTAGTTGATGTATTATGAGACAACGTGTTTTCATTTATTCTCCCCCCCAAAATGGCCTGAAAATCAGTTAATGCAGGAATACATCAGCTAATATTACAGAGAATAAGCCCCTTTTTCTATTTCAAGAAAAGCACAATTTACAGCTGACCCTTTATTCATCTACAGTAAAGCTGGAACTAAAATAAAATTTGACCACAGCTGTAGAAATTAGCTTGTTTCTGAGCCAGTGTGGTGAGGAGGAACAGGAATTGAATCTCCCTGCTGATATGCCGTGGAGATACTGCACCCACCTGGACTCAAAGGCATTTATTTACAAGGCAGCACGTAGGGTAATCAACTTTACTCCAATGGCCCTCTGCATTGTGCTGCGACCGGCCCACAAACCCGCTCTCCTTTCCTCCGTCTCCAGGCAGGAGGCTACATCATCAACCGGTGGTCCCACACTTAAACTCTTAATTGAACAATCACACCGCACACTTCTGCAAAGACTGAATATAGTGACACACTTATGAGAACAAATACTCATCTCGTGTACCTCACAGCCAAAGCTCGTACACCATTCTGCTGCTCAGAGACTAGTGGAGAGAAGCCTTAAAAAAAAAAATCAAAGTTCTCAGTTAACTGTCTGACAGCTTTTTGCTGCAAGGTCAGGAAGAACTTTCGCTGTAACATAAACTGTGATGTGTTCTGCAGTCTTTGACAGCAAATGTAAGCTGGCCGCAAGGCTTTAATAGAAAACCCTAACTGGGTATCCTGGCTGCATTCGAAGTGTTGAAACCCCTGTAATTATTCTCCAGCTGTATTAGCAGATGAAGTCTGTAGGGGATGTTTCCTAAATGAAGAGTAATGAGCACTTTATCAGCGCTGCTCAGTCCACACAGTGGGTGATTAAGTAGCTACTTCCAAGGCTTCTGGCTGTGTTTGGGGAAAAAAGCGTCAAATAGGGGGAATCTGGAGGCAATTTGCACGGATTAAAAGGAAATACCGTGTCTTTATCTTATCAGATAGATGTACAGTATAGGGTGTGGGAAGAGATTCTAGGGCAAAGGAAGATGTAGTGTGGCAAGACAGGGTGAACGACAACAAAAAAAACCCTGGAGGAAATTGTGAGAAAAAGTGAGCTTCCTCATCAATCAGCTAGGGCAGGACTAGATTGGTAAAGCAGACAGTGGAAGGAGAAATCAATACAGAGACTGAGGCTTCTCGCACACAGAGAAAGGACAAATTACGTCCAGGCTCTACTTCATCTTTTCCAACATCCGACCCTGCGTCACTTTCTGAAGTTGCCCTTGGAACAGATACAGTACTCTCTATGGATCAATAATTGTTTACTGCTGGTTTTTGATCATGTTGCCCAGCGAAACCTTACCAAAAAAAATAATAATAATTACAAAACTGAAATGGAGAACACGATTAGAAATTCAGCTCCAGTCACTTGAGATCTCAAAGGTCAGTGTTCTCTCCAAAGGTATGGTGGCCCCAAGGAGGAAAAATGCATCAATAACAACACAGTAGAAAACAATAATAACAAAAGATGAAACTTGATGTTTGCGGTGTGCTCATAGCTCACCTGATGCAGCTGGCGCCCCATGTACCAAGGCTGAGTCCTAGCTGCAGCAGCCATGGGTTTGACTCCGACCTGGTGTCACCCCCCCCCTTTTTCCTGTCACTCTTCAGCTATCACTATAGATTAAAGGCCACACTCAAAAAAGAATGTTTTGTTGTTGTGTTTTATGATCTGGTAATGTGTCTTTTTCTATGTTTTTTGTCTCTGTGAACGTGCAGGGCCATTTTCAGGTATAGATGAGCAAAGCAGTCGCCAATGCCTCATGCTGGTTGCACAGGAAAAAGATCAGGAGCAAATAATTGAATAACAATTATTTGCTATACATCAAAATGTTTGCTCCTGGAATGACAGCTGTCAAAAATAGCCCAGTGTGCTCCAAACTTTAGGCTGCGCATCGTTGTGAGCGAGGGAACCACAAAATGGATAAAACCAGTGTGAGTGACTGAGCAGCAGTGAACAATGCTAGCAGAGCGGCCATTTTGTGTCTGTTTCAGTGACGTTGCAGATAAAGACACCCCTACAGTGCTGTGTTTGTTGAAATGCTGATGTTACATATCACACTGATCTCTCTGTGTGGATATTATAGAAACTACTATACATAATACAAAATATTATAAGAAATTATTATAGAAGTTTGTATTTCCTTAATGCAGAAAATAGCTGTAAAACATATCTAGATTGCTACATTAACTTTAAATTCTGCACTGCAAGCTGTGTGATGAAAATAAAATATTATACAATTTTAACAACTGTTATAAAATGCAAAGATCAGTCCACTTATGGGCAGTGGTGGCTGTCTGACCCAGGGCAACGCAATGTCTGGAAACGGCCCTGTTAATGTGTTTCGTCCAATGCTGTTTTACCCCACATTGCTGCCCAATCTAAAATACATTGCATCCTTTTTTTACAGCAGCCGTTATGACCATTAAGCCTTAAAATGAAAAAGAATGAAAAGATGTCCCAAACATGCAGATCAGAGCGTGAAACTTGGTGTTTTCAGTTCCTCTTTCTTTTAAATACTGCTTTGCCTAAAGAGAACAACATATCTAAAGCAGGTAAAAAGGGGAATGTGTGTTTGTGAATGAGGTTGTATGTGCTTTCCATTTAAAAAACATTTTTAGTGGAAACCCTTCAAAGCAACTAAGCCAAAAAATACCAAAGATGTGTCTATATTTCTGTTACACTCAATGTGTATTCAAAATAAATATATACACTAAATAGGTATATTCTGTATATACTTAGTTTTAGAAATATAATGTGTATAATAATAATAATTGTCTTTTTAATCTATCTTATATTTTTTGTAGGCTTTTTGTTTGTTTTGTTAGTTCTAAATTTTCCCTTCTGGTTTGGAGAATTAAGGGGGAAAAACATAACATATATATCTTTAGGACATGTCAAATAAAACACTGAGTCTCAATAAGTCAGTTCATGTTTTTCAGGTTTCTGAAGTCCTGATCTACCATTAAAAACAAGATTTATAAATGTGTAGAATGATTTGTGAGTAATGTTTACAAACGCATTGTCTAAACAAATACCAAACAAATCTAAATGTTAACTTAAAAAATTATGCACATAGGGCAGCCTACATGGCACTGCTTCACATTTTCTCCATAAGGACAAACAAGAGGTCACATTATCACTTTCTATCTACCATAGAGCCATCCAAGAGGGCACTTTTACTGTATTGTTTTCATAGGGGTATTAGTAAGGGTGACCAGCACGACATCTACGTGCTTGACTTGACAAAAAGTCAGTAGTTTTGAGGTTTAAAAGCTACTTTATCTTTTGGGGACCTTTCCCATTTTGAATTTCCACATGAACGCTCTGGAAAACTGAATGTCGGAGTTTTCCACCAGCAGTTAAATGCAAGATGCATTCATGGATCATAGCTTCAAAACGTGGCATAGCTGTGACACACGTTATTAATAACAAAACCTATTTTTAACCGTACTTTCCTGTCTATATTTCATAGAAGTATACCTAGAAGCATACTCATTTTCTGATTATGAATGAAGAAGTGTTACCATGCAGCCCACTGAATAGCAAAGAAGAGAGAGGCAGCACTGTAAAGCTTTTAGCGTATGTAACCGAACAATGGTATTGTGTCAAGACAGTGTCATGAACAATGAAGCAGCAGACTATTTACTGTTCTCTAATACTGCAGCCACATAACACAGTACAGTATGCTGTGTAAAGTTATGCAGAGCACAAGAGGATCCAGCAGATGGCAATCAGACACTGACACAGAGTCTTAAAGACAAACTGTATGATCACATCATAATCATCGATATCAATCTAAATGATTCTTATGGTTCCTGCTCTGTTTTTGTTTGTAATAAAACTTATGTTTTACAGAGGTTCACCTCTGTTACTACAGTCTGACCTTTGGCCTGACTGTGTTTGGTGTTTCATAATGCTGACCTTTGATCACGGCAGTCCGGGAAATCATTCTGAAATCTGGACTCTAAACAAATGATCACAATCACTGGTGCTTCTGTGTTAACAAACATGGAAGAAATACTGCAGAATTAAATGAATGGAACAAACATGAAGTGTAAGAAATTAGAGTTTAAACTAAAGTCTTCAATGTACCATCTTTGATCAGATTGACTGTGTCTATATGTGTTTATTGAGCTACCTTCTGTGTATAGCTTGTAAGATATTATCACATTATAGAGATAATATCCTCATTACATGGATACTAAATCATTATGACTACTATTATATTATTACTTTGTACAGAGAAACGTGTCTATATGTCTAAACTCTGTTATTATCTGACTTATTTTGAAATAAGTCATTATGGGAGACAAAAAACAATAAATGTGTGGATTTTATTTTATCTTTTAGAAATGGACAAAGTGTTATTCTATACTCTCACGTGTCTCTCTAAGGTTAAAATGCAAAAAAAGTATTGCTCCTCTATGTCTGTATGTGCTTGTAATGTATTCTAATCAGTGTGTTTGCTTCAGACCAACAGTGTTATGTAAGAGTTGGAGTGTTTACTCCACATTTCTTAACTTTTGGGGGAAATGCCCTCAATGATTATTAACTGGTTCTGATCTTAACTGAACTCTTTGCTCTGCTTTGGACTGAATTCCTGACAAAATGTGTGTGAGATATCTCGGATTTGTTCTTTTGGTTTGGTTTCCAGGGGTGCTGCATGGTAAGAACATTAAATTATATCACCTATCATTTCAATGTCTTAAGAAAGGATTTCAGTACGGTGTTCTCTAACTTGTCATTGTTTCAGCACAAAGGGCAGATAACTCTTGTTCTGCTCCCCGCCTGAATTATGGTTATTTTGTCCCCAACCACGAAACATATGCTCATGGAGTCAAGCTCACTTATGCCTGTGAAAAGGGATATAAACCAGTAGTGGCTGGTCGTTGGTGGGCAACAAGCACCTGTCAAAATGGCACATGGTTTCATGAACCAAAATGTATAGGTAAGTGTTCTATAATATATCCACTGGTTTGTTTTAACTCGATCACCTCTCATGTGGAAACCTTTATTAATTATTCAGTGTTTCAATACTGCAAACAGATGAAGTCAGTGTATGACCCTGTAGGGTAAAAGATCAACTTAAATGTTGTCTGTAATAAGCATCCATATAATCTCAGTAATAGTTTGTATGGTTTATGAAATGCCTTCCATTTAAATCCAGAACTGTATTGTCATGTATTTCATTGTAGAACAGTTACACATGTATTTCATTGTTGAACAGTTACACATTTTTATTTACTGTTAACACATTACAATTGGCATTAGTTTCTGATCCAAGAAAGCTGTGTCAACTTGTTTGCTGTCTTACCAGGAGTTAGATGGTTGATATCATTTTTGAGGACAGAAAGGATGTAGGGAGACAGTTAGCCTTTACCAAAAAAAGGAGAAATGTGGCTCTCTTTAACTCAAATATTGTTGTATTAACATATCTCCTTAGCTGGCAGCTTCACCTATATACGGTTGGTTAGCCTTCAGTTGAGGATGGGACTTGTCAGAGTGCTTAGAGCCAAGATAACAATAGCTGTTGATGGTCAGTAAATAACTCCTATGGTAAATCTGTTTTTGTTTATCTTTCCCCTCAGACGAAGAAGACTGCATTACACCAGAGATACCCAATGCAAATTACACAACAAGCCCAGAAGTTTGGTATCAGAATGGACACGTATTTAGGGTAACATGTAATAAAGGATATGAACCCAAAAACCGGGCTGCTACAACCAGATGTAATAAAGGACGATGGACCTCTGTGCTAGTCTGTGAGAGTAAGTCTGTCTGATGTTTCATACCAGTAAGCTTTAAAACTAACAGACCACAATAATATCATTGTCTACATTATAATTCTTACCAGCAACAGCACATCAAGTATCCATCTGAGTACCTCTACCTATTGATGGCAAATGTGTTTATTTTTACAGAACGTTACGATTCCTGTGGTGAGCCCCCTCGAATCCCCCATGCTGTCATCAAGCATGAATACAAGGAGGTGTTTGCTGCAGATACACAAGTGTACTATGAATGTGAAGATGGATATACTGTAGAGAGAGCAGAAGACACAAAATCCATCTTTTGTGTGCTTGGAAACTGGACTGACGGTCCAACATGCAGTAAGTGGACAGTGTGCTGAGATATGCAGGAGTAAAAATACTTTTAGTCAGTGTGAAAAAATGGTTTCCAATCTGGGGGTCAGGACCCCCACTAGGGGTTTGCAAAAGTTTCATGGGGGCACACAAGACCTTCTGGATTTTAGGGGGTGTCAGAAAGTAGGGATATATCTCAGCATTTCATTCACTTCTGTGAAGAAATGGAAAAGTAAAGTTACTTGTCTAATAAAACAATGGCCAAGCGCCAGGGATAAGAAAGCACTGACTTTATCACAGAAGAAGCTTGGTAAGTCTGTATGATTGTTAAAAATAATATATAATACAGACAGAGCATTGAGAGAAGTTCCATAAACAGGAAATAATCAGCTTAAAATTCGGCCAAATCCCTCGTTTTATAAACGCCTTGCAGCTACTGAGTTTACCATTTGGGTTCATTATACACTTTTTAATACAATATGAAATATCTATAGAATGTGTCACTTAAGCAGGGGTCGTCAGTTTACTTAATGATAAAAAGGGGTCCCTTAAGGAAAAAAGTTAGGAACCACTATGCTGAGCCCGATACTGATATTAGTACCGGGGAACTTATACAGTATGAAATACTTAAGTAACTTGTACTGTATATGTATATATTGTATTTTATCAAATATATCTCTAGAGTATACCGTTTTCATAACGGCTATGTTTCACTTACACAAAGGAACCGGATCAACTGGACAGGGTGGTTCTGCAGAGGTGGGAACTGATGGCGGACACACTTCATTTGTTACCATGGAGATACAACCTGCAGCTGGAGGTAGTTCATTGATCTATATTAAATATGTATGTATCGAACCAGAGACTGTACCAAAATATAGAATTTATTTTTTTATTTTTTTATGTATTTATTTATTTATTTATTTATTGCCATGGACATGAACAATGCTGCTCCTTTATTCCCACGTCTTCTGAATGAATCAGCCAGTAAGGATGCAGTCTCCTGCACATGTAGCTTTAGTCTCAGGGTTTTAGCCATAAATCATGTATCTAGCCATCCAGTGCAACACACTTTTATTGGCTTTGCTCATTTTAAACAGTGTACAGGAGTTTTCAAACAGCACATTGGCTCAGCTTTAGCAAGCTACAGTGGATAAAATCTGGTGGCAAAAAAAATCCACTTTTGTTGGCAACAATGAGAAACCTGCTTCAGTTTACCTCTGTCTGAAATAAAACACTCATTGTTTCAGAAATGACCGTGAAATTTGGGTGCTAAATCTGCCACAACTATAATTTTAAAACAAAATTTTTTTAGCCCCAAAAAAAAAAAAATTTTTTTTACTTTTTTTTTTTTTTAACATGTACAAACAGAAAGATTTTAGTTTGCATTACAGAACTTAACAGTAAATCCATGTTTTTGAGTGAATAAATTACACGTGCAGTCACTTTTTTAAACTATCATCCTGGTCCCAGTATGTAGTGTTCATTACAACTACGGTCAATTTCCTTTTTCTGGTAAATTTTTTGTAGAAGAATTGATGCTATATCCATTTTATCAAATATATCTCTAAAGTATACAGTTTTTATATCGACTGTGTTTCCACTTAGACAAAGGAACCGGATCAACTGGACAGGGTGGTTCTGCAGGGGTGGGAACTGATGGCGGACACACTTCATTTGTTACCATGGAGATACAACCTGCAGCTGGAGGTAGTTCATTGATCTATATTAAATATGTGGGGCCCAGTGATATTCAATACACAAGACCCAGAATAAACTGAAACCAGACTGTACCAAAATATAGAATTTATTTATGTTGAATCAAACAAAAGACTCTCCACTCAACTAGCTGGAAGCAAGAGAGTTTGAATCGAAGGCCTAAATGCAGGCCATAATGGAGGAGCAATGGGGTAAACTGTACAATGAATACATAAATCAAATCAAAAAAATGGACAACCAGAAAATAAAGAATGTGGAGCTAGACTCCACCATCATTGAGTATAGTGTAGATAGTGATGAATAAACCAACACTAAACACAAAGGTACAATGGTTTAAGTCAGTCCTCTAGCAGCTTCATTGTTTACAAAACTAAAAGTCACTGAAGCACATTAATATACAAAAGGATTGAAGATTGAACATAATCTGTCCAATGTAAAAGAAAATGGACTCTACTTTTATAGCGGCTAGTCTTTTGACCACTTAATGCGCTATTCACTATATGTACACACAGTCATACACTGATGGCAGTGGCTGTCTGCAAGCTGCCAACTGCTCACCATAATGGAAACTAATCATTCAGCAATTTGGGGTTCAGTATCTTGCTCAAGGACACTTTGACATGCAGCAAGAGGAGCCGGGGATCGAACCTCAAACCTTCAAATTAATGGACAACCCACTCTACCTCTGAGCCACAGCTAGCCCTAAATAAATAATATAAATATACATAATATACCTTTAATATACCAGTCCTCTGCCCCAGTTGGAGACAAATCTCCTTGCTGCTTCAGCATACCAAGTTTCTTTCCCAATGTTCCTAAGCAACCACTCCAAGCTTAAGCCCCTCATCAAACATAAAAACATTGTTTTAACAATTATTTAACAAATCTTTAATTTAATACTATGAGCTAGAAGAAATGGTTCATGGTTTGTATTCACCATTAAAGTAGAGAGACTGTATTTTAAGGTAGATTTCATTATTGATTTAAAGTTAAATTTACTTTAATTTAAAAAAAAGCATGAAAAGCATAAAAAAAACTTTTTGGAAAGAAATAGATAGCAATGAAAATCCCAAAGTGATACTAACTGCTGTGTCTTCTGTTGTGTGTCTTACAGGATCTTCTACAACCTCTGGCTCAAATGGGGGAGACAGCAGTCCTTCATTTGTACCAAGTAAATCATTCAGATTATTTTCTCCTTTTACTTCACATGTATCAGACTTGGTTCATATATTTACTTGGTGTAACTTTTCAGTGTTTCTTCACTAGCAGTGAAAGTCCCTTTATCATTTAGTGGCACTTTATTTGGACAGCCAATGTTCATAGAGTGTTTCTACCATTTCAAAAACATATTAGTTGAGATTCATCAACCCTTTTCTGATATTGAACCACTGTGGTTCAGGTTTGGTTAGGTTTAGACACAACAATCATCTTGGTTGGATTATGAGAATGAATTGTCAGTCTTTTATTAATTTTTTTCCCCCTCACATTCAAATATCAGAATAAAACGTCTTCCCTCTTTTAAGTGGAAGTTCTTAAAAACTGGTATGAAGCATTAGACACAGAGGATTTTCTTTTACTAGTGCTGCTTCAGCTCAACAATGTTAAATAACCTCTTTTTTTACTTCAGTCAGCCGCTGTGGAACACACCCAGTCCTTGAAAACGGTGTTGTTATGGAAGTGAATCAAATGTCTTTGAAATACCAATGTAGCGGCTTTTACACACAAGTCGGCCTAGACACTGTGGTGTGTCACAACGATGGTACCTGGTCAAAACTGCCCGAGTGTAAAGGTACAGACAAGTCAATACTACTTTTTCTCATTCCAAATGTCTATGAGAAATGTTATCCAAATAATGATAAATTTTCTCTTTATTTTGTGCAGAGTCATTCTGTGTACTGGATCCTGCTCAGTATGTTGGGTCCAATGTTATAATAACTACAAAGGAATATCTAAAGGAAGGAGAGAAGAAGTATTTTCCCTGTATTTGGGATCGTTATTTCAGTATTTTTCAGTGCACTGAAAGAAGAATAACTATGTCCAGATGTAAGTACATAAATGATCTCTTCACAGTTTAATTTGCCACAATGCTTTTAGTTTCAGCCTTTTTATTGTCAGAGAACATATATGAATATTAACTCTCTAGGATCTGATTAACTATATCTAATATAGTGTGAAAAAGAATATTGAAAGAAAAGAACAGTCTGTCTGTCCCCTTTGTCTCCTGTCTGTCTCAGTTCTTACTTATACGCACTCAGACAGACTGATCTCTGTGACAGTTTTCTTTATTATCTGATCATCATGGACGAGGAACTTGTCCTCTATCTGTATGATTGATCCAATCATTTTAGAGACAAACTTCAACAACTCACCTTCATCCCTGCGTCTAGATAAAGGCCAGAGTCTGCCATACTGTTACAGTAAAGACCACCACTCTTTCAGACACCACACGTCCAACTGGCCAAGATCAAGACAATCCTCATGCAAATATATAATAGTCAGCTTACCACAACTGGAAACAGCTTGCGTGCTAAACGTGTCCAACTGGACAATTGCTCTCTTGTCGCGTGCTCTCAATGACAAGAACATTCTTTTTCATGGAAACAGAAATAAAGCCGAACTATTTCAACTTTACAAAGTCTCCATATCCACCACTCCAGCCGGCCTCTCGAATCCTTCCATTGCTAACCATTGCAAACCCTGTAGGGGTGTAAAGATTTACTGATATGAGTCAGAAATCGGTTTCAGCGTTATAGATGCACCTACATTGGTATGCAAACCCCTGGATCGACTAAATGTTCCGTGAACCGGTGTTCAACCGATGTTTTGATTTTAAAGTTATGAATAGGTTGACTGAAGCTTTGCTGCTAACAGCGTCTCCACTCTGGTGAAAGAAAACATTTGGATTCTATAAGAAAGAAAGAAAGTTGGATAAAAGTGTAGCCATTTGTAAGAATCTGTCTGATAGCCGTTAAGTACAGCAGTAGCACGACGAATTATTGTATCGAACCGTATCGTTTTATATTAAAATGCATCGTCCCTGAATCAAATCGTAGACCATGTATCTAGATACGTATTGGATTGTCATAGAAGGGAGAGATGCACACCAACAAAGGCCTGTTTCGCTTTAGTCCCCACTATGCCCCCAGTTCAGCCACACGACCCTCTCCTGTTTCACCACACTAGTTCCTGTTGCCCCACAACCCCACAAAGCAAGGTGATGAGTAAAATACCTCAAAATACCAATAGACAAATCTTGTCAAGGAATTTGTTGACAAAAATGAAAAACATTACTGTTGTCCTTAAAGAACAGAACAGATGTTCCTCAGTAGGTTCAGCCATTCACAGATTGAATGAATTAGACCTTAATAAGAGAAGTTTGTGAATTTAACTACTTACTGAATTATTCACTGCTGTTATTACATTATTTTTAGGTAATAGGTACTGATTGGGTAAGTGTCACTTTTTGATTTACATTTTTTAATGAATTCCATTATTGTATAATCCATATTGTATTTAATGTTGGACACACTTTGTTGTATCCAGCAGTTTTACATGAATTAACTATTCACAATATTTCTTATTGTTTGTGTTGTAAGCAGAGTCACTGCCTGTAAAGTCTAGCAGAGGAGCTACTGCTGGACTCACAACCAAGGCCAAGTTTTGAAGTTCCTCCATCGGAAACAACTATGTTAAAAAAATGTCATCACATTTGTATTTGATCTTTTCAAACCAGTTATTGCTTTGATTCCATTTTGATGGAAAATACATAAACACAATGTTGGAGCTGATTGTTTACCGACAGTCATCTTATATCTTTCTGATTAGAACTGTTAATGCACTTTGAATACATAAATAAAGTTTATGTGGCCTATGGTAGTCTGTATAAAATGTTTGACAGAAATCTTAACAAAGTCCTTCTGAACATGGATATATCAGTAACAGTAATAGTAGTAATGGTCATAGACAGTAATTCTTCTAATATTGATCTGCTTGATACAACATCAGTGCAAAGCATGCAGACAGACGGACAGACAGACTCACAAATGCCATGGTCAGTTTCAATGATGTCACAACTTTATTTCTCAGTCAGTGAGGAATCTTATATTTAGATTTAAAATCTTTTGAGTGTGGGTATTATTATCCAACGCTCACTATACAAGGCTGACTTAATTGAAGTAAATGTCACTTTTTTGTCAGTTTGATCTTATTTGGAGTTATTTTAGCTTGACACAAGGGACATATTAGCTATAGGACCTCCAGTATGCTTTGACACTGACTTTAAGCTCTGACGTTTCAAAACAAAAACATCTTATTTCAAGTTTTAGTCTTTTGGCTTACATTACCGTATTCTTGACTTTATCTTGGAGGAAGATATCTAATTTTAAGATGAAGATTTTTGTTTGCATTAGTTCATTTTTGTCAGCCTGTTGATGACAGTAGCACCTCAGATGATTTATATTCCTTTCAGTAAAACAATACAAAACTATAGTCTCAGAATAATCATTACAATCCCCAATGAAATAGACCAGAATGAAGCAGATGTAGGTAACTGACTCATACTCTACATGAGATGATTCAATGTGCAGGTTTAGTGTATATCAGATATTACAAACCTTCACTGACTTCACCAAAGCTGAGTATTTGCTCTGAAGAGGTTTGCTCTTATGATGAGTCAATTTAGAGATCACCAGATTTAAACTTTAACAGGCTTGTTACTTGGACCTGTTTTGTCATTCACAATGTTAATAATAATATCTGCTCTTGTAAGTGGATGGTTAGTTGAGTCTCATCCTAACATCATGGTAGAGTATCAGATCTGAGTGTATTAAAGGTATGTGATGTTCTCCGAAGTAACTGATGACCAAATGTGTGTTTTTAGATATTATGTAAATCCAGAAGTGGACCAGACTGATAAATAACTGAATCAGGGCAGGCACAAGACTGACCTCTGATCACACCAGGCCAGGAAATTATTTTGAAATTTGGACTCTAAATAATCAAATTGATTTTTGTAGAGAGAGTTATACAGCAAATGATCCATTGGTAGTATTTTAGTTCTACACAGAAATACACTTATCATTGTCACAGGTCTTTCCCAAACAAATAAATAAAAACAATAAATACAAATAACAGTGTGCTTCTCCTTGAAGTTCATAATATGACAGTAAATGGATGAAATTGATTAACAGTATCATCTGAGGTCAAGAAACAAAACCGAACACAGTCAGGTTTGTTCATTTAACCAAGATAGATTAACAAAAGTGACTGATCTGAATTTGAAGTGTTGCAAACATTTATTTCTCATATTGACAATAATTAACTATTAAAGTAACGTAAAAAAAATTTGAGTTTGACTGTATTTCTGTATTCCTATAGGTGTGTGTGTTTGAGTGTGTGTGTGTGTGTGTGTGTGTGCGTGCGTGCGTGCGTGCGTGCGTGCGTGTGTGTGTGCGTGTGTGTGTGTGTGTGTGTGTGTGTGTGTGTGTGTGTGTGTGTGTGTGTGTGTGTGTGTGTGTGTATGTTTGGTCAACAAATGTTTTGGGGGAAGGCTCTCATCAGTTATTAACTGGTTCTGATCTGGACTAGGCTTTCAGTTCTACGTTTTCGCGGGACGATTTAGCTCCTGACAAAATGTGCATCAGATATCTTGGATTCCTTCTTCTGATTTGGTTTCCTGGAGGGCTGCATGGTAAGAATATTAAATACTTTAACCACCATTTGAATTCCTTAAAAACAAATACCGTCACTGTAGAGTAATCCTGTTTATTGTATTTTAGCACAAAGTGCAACACAGTCCTGTGCTGCTCCCAGACTGGATGGTGGTTTCTTTGTCCCAAAACAAGAGACTTATTCTGATGGAACCACTCTGAGCTTTACCTGCAATAACGGAACCTGGACTGAAGGCCCAACGAGCAGTAAGTGGACAATGTGCTGAGATATACAGTGCTTAAACCTTTCATAAAATGTAAAAGAGACAATTGAACTTTTCCTAAACTGAACAGTGATTGTTTAACCATATGTATCTTAAAAAACACCAGACCTGGCTAATTTTGCCACATGGTGAAAGTGTGTGCATGGGCCTGTAGTCAGAGAGATATTCTGTATGTAAGTGTTATACCTAATACTGTAGTTATCAGGTCAACAGGTAAATAAGCAGAAAGACTTCAGTTTGTTTTAGTCTGAAAATGAATAATGTTGGCCTCTGTCTAGCTAAAGTCTGTTTACATTTTGACAATTGATGCATCTCTATTTTATCAAATATCTCTCTAAAGTGTAGTGTTTCTATAATATTTTTTCACTCAGGGAGAGGAACTGGATCAGACACTGGACGTGGTGGATCCACAGTGGGAGGAGCAGGTGGGGGACACACTACACTGACTGGCAGTGGGACACAACCTGCAGGTACAGGTAGGTTAATGTCATTGTAGGCAAAATTGTATTTTAAAGTAGATTGAATAATCATAATTAAATAACTTCATTTTCCTTTTTTTTCATGAAAAGCATCGAAAACTTTTGGAAAGAAATAGATAGCAATGAAAATCCCAAAGTGATACTAACTGCTGTGTCTTCTGTTGTGTGTCTTACAGGATCTTCTACAACCTCTGGCTCAAATGGGGGAGACAGCAGTCCTTCATTTGTACCAAGTAAATCATTCTGATTATTTTCTCCTTTTACTTCACATGTATCAGACTTGGTTCATATATTTACTTGGTGTAACTTTTCAGTTTTTCTTCACTATCAGTGAAAGTCCATTTATCATTCAGGTTTGGTTAGGTTTAGACACAACAATCATCTTGGTTAGAGTATGTGAATTGTCATTTCTTAAACTTCTTTCCCCTCACGTTCAAATATCAGAATAAAATGTCTTCCCTCTTGTAAGTGGAAGTTCTTAAAAACTGGTATGAACCATTAGACACAGAAGATTTTCTTTTACTAGTGCTGCTTCAGATCAACATCATGACCATGTTAAATAACCTCTTTTTTTACTTCAGTCAGCCGCTGTGGAACACACCCATTCCTTGAAAACGGTATTGTTGTGGAAGTGAATCAAATGTTTTTGAAATAACAATGTAACGGCTTTTACACACAAGTCGGTCCAGACACTGTGGTGTGTCACAACGATGGTACCTGGTCAAAACTGCCCGAGTGTAAAGGTACAGACAAGTCAGTGCTACTTTTTCTCATTCCAAATGTCTATGAGAAATGTTATCCAAATAATGATACATTTTCTCTTTATTTTGTGCAGAGTCATTCTGTGTCCTGGATCCTGCTCAGCATGTTGGGTCCAATGTTATAATAACTACAAAGGAATATCTAAAGGAAGGAGAGAAGAAGTATTTTCCCTGTATTTGGCATAGTTATTTCAGTCTTTTTCAGTGCACTGAAAGAAGAATAACTATGTCCAGGTGTAAGTACATAAATGATCTCTTCACAGTTTAATTTGCCACAATGCTTTTAGTTTCAGCCTTTTTATTGTCAGAGAACACATATGAATATTAACTCTCTAGGATCTGATTCACTATATCCCAGATAGTGTGAAAAAGAATATTGAAGGAAAAGAACAGTCTGCCTGTCCCTTTTGTCTCCTGTCTGTCTCAGTTCTTACTTATATGCACTCAGACAGACTGATCTCTGTGACAGTTTTCTTTATTATCTGATCATCATGGACGAGGAACTTGTCGTCTATCTGTATGATTGATCCAATCATTTTGGAGACATACTTCATCAACTCACCTTCATCCCTGCATCCAGATAAAGGCCAGAGTCTGCCTTACTGTTACAGTAAAGACCACCACTCTTTCAGACACCACACGTCCAACTGGCCAAGATCAAGACAATCCTCATGCAAATATATAATAGTCAGCTTACCACAACTGGACATGGCTCGCGTGCTAAACATGTCCAACTGGACAATTGCTCTCTTGTCGCGTGCTTTCAATGACAAGAACATTATTTTTAATGGAAACAGCAATAAAGCCGAACTATTCAAACTTTCAAGCTTCTCGAATCCTTCCATTGCTAGCCCTCCTGCCTTTACCCTTGCAATCCTGTAGGGGTGTACCCCTGGATTGACTAAATGTTCCGTGAACCGGTCGATGTTTTGATTTTAAAGTTATGAATGGGTTGACTGAAGCTTTGCTGCTAACAGCGTCTCCACTCTGGTGAAAGATAAAAGGTCAACGAAAGGGTCTTGTGACAAGAGCGCCGAAAGTAATGTTAGTGTTATGAGTTTCAAATTGTGTAACTGGAGTAACAAATGATTTTTATTGGGGTTCACTGCTCTCAACTCTCCTAGAGGAAACCCTGGAAAACAGAATCACGGAGTCAGTGAGTGAAAGAGCGAACCGCCATCTTCGTCTCCAAATCTCTGTCTGAGAGAAGAGGGAGGCGTCTCTCACGTAGGCACCGTGGTACAACGATACCCGCACTTTGGTTCCGCTTTCTTTTCTTTCCCCCTACATTAATATTGTCTTTCACAATAATTTCACTCTGAACATACACACATTTTTTTCCCCCAACAAAACACATTCCAACTCTCAATGAGTGTGTCCTATAAAGTGCATATTTCAGATCTCATGTGGTGAGTATGCAATGTATGGTGTATATATTCCTACAGGTATGTATAAAATGTATAGGGTATGTGTGATTCAGGTAAGTATAAAATTTATAATGTATGAGTCCTTCAAGTAGGTATGAAATGTATGATGTATGAGTGGTTCAACAGGTAAGTATGAAATGTATGGTGTATTTATGGTGTTTATGGTGATTCAGGTCTCTTCAGGTGAGTATGGAATGTATGTAATTGTCTTTCATGGCGTCTCATCCACAGTGAGCTGGGTACACGACAGGTAGGTAAGGGTATGGGGCGATGGATGGGGGTTGGAAGTGGTGAAAGTATTGTGTACAGAGACACTGGTAAGTACTCTGTACTCGCTGGATTCCAACTGCACTCACAGTCGGCCGCGGGTGATACGCTGGTTGACCCAGGGATGGGTAAGTAAACACATAACCTGGCCGTCTTTCTCTCGTGGACTGTCTTAGCGGAATCTGATGTTCAGGTTGTGGTGTGGGGACATTGTTCTCTTGATGGACAGCGTGCAGTTCCTCTTGAACAGTTGCAGGTTGAAGCTGCTCCATGTCATGTTCATCCTCACTGGATGTCCCCTGTTCCTCACCTCTAACACTCTCTCTGTCCTGTTCAGGTTCTGCGTGGATTGTTTCTCCCAGGTAGGTCTCATTCTGTTCAGATCTGTTTTGGAAGTCAGGAGTAACATGTGGTCAGGTAAATGACTTTCAGCTCTTGGTTTCTCCATCGGTATTCGCAACTAGTAACGAGGCACGCCTTCCTCTTCCTCAGAGTCACTTATATCTGGGCTCTGTGTCTCATGTGTGGGTTTCAGGGTGCCTGAAGCTCTCTTCTTTCTCTTTTGTGACTCAGCTGAGTTGGTGGTCGGGTTCTGAAGAGGTTCTACAGGTAGGTTGTTGACTTGTAACAGGAGGTTCCTGTGCAGAGTGCGAACTGGTCGGCCTCCCGCCTCAGGGCTTACTTTGTAGACAGGATTATCTCCAACCTGTTCTCTCACGATGTAGATAAGCTGCTCCCAGTACGGTTTAAGCCTTCCAGGGCCCCCTCGTTCATTGAGATTGCATGCAAGGACTCTGTCCCCAGGCTGAAGAACCACACCTCTGCTCCTTTTATTGTAGTATGTCTTTCCTTTGGAACTGGACTGTCGGCTGTTTGCGTCTGCTATTTGGTATGCCTCAACCATTTTTCCTGCCCATTTCTCAGCATATCCTCTTGGTCCATTGTTTTCAGTCCCCTCATCTGTTATGAAGCCGAAGAGGATGTCAACAGGTAGGCAAGAATGTCGGCCATACAACAAAAAGTACGGGGAGAAACCTGTGGCCTCGTGCCTTGCACAATTATATGCATGGAGTACATGGGGCAGGTGGTCCTTCCAACTCCCCTTCTCTTTCTCTCCCAGGGTGCGGAGCATCTGCAGTAGTGTGCGATTGAGTCTTTCTGCAGGATTGCCCTGCGGGTGGTACGGAGAGGTTCTCAAGTGGGCGACACCAGCTAATTGCCTGAAGTCATATTTATAAGATCGCTCGCAGTTTGTACATGTTAACGATGAATCTTCAATAAATACTACAGTTAGTCATGGAGTTCCACAAGGTTCTGTACTTGGACCAATACTATTTACTTTATATATGCTCCCTTTAGGCAACATTATTAGGAATCACTCCATTAACTTTCACTTTTATGCAGATGATACGCAGTTATATCTATCAATCAAGCCCGATGAAATTAATCAATTATCTAAATTACAAACATGTCTTAAGGACATAAAATCTTGGATGACCTGCAATTTTCTGATGTTAAACTCCTCGAAATTCTTGTTCTTGGGCCCAAAAACCTTAGAGACTCACTGTCTAAAGATATAGTTATTCTAGATGGCATTAACTTGGCCTCTAGCACCACTGTCAGGAATCTTGGAGTTATCTTTGATCAGGATTTGTCATTTAACTCCCACATAAAGCAGACCTCTAGGACTGCCTTCTTTCATTTATGTAATATTACAAAAATTAGACACATACTATCACAGACAGATGCAGAAAAACTAATCCATGCATTTGTTACTTCAAGGCTGGATTACTGCAACTCTTTATTATCAGGTTGCCCCAATAAGTCCATTAAAACGCTCCAATTAATTCAGAACGCTGCAGTACGAGTACTGACAGGAACTAGAAAAAGAGATCACATCTCTCCTGTACTAGCTTCTTGCATTGGCTCCCTGTAAAATGTAGAATAGAATTAAGACATTCCTCTTTGATAAAGCTTATAGTTAGGGCTGGATCAGGTGAGTCCTGAACCATCCCTTAGTTATGCTGCTATAGGCCTAGACTATCGGGTGATTTCCCATGGTGCACTGAGCTCCTCCCTTCCTCTCTCTTTCTGCACTCATTCATGTTCCATTAATGCATGTTACTAACTTCACTTCTTCCCCGGAGTTCTTGTGCTTTCTCGTCTCGCAGGTTCTTATCGATCCTGGTGAAGCCTCCTGCCATGGTCCTGCTAGATTGCCATTGCCAATACTGTTGTTGCTGTGCACCTGTCTGTCTGTCTGTCTGTCTCTCACTCTCTCTCTCTCTCTCTCTCTCTCACCCCAACTGGTCGAGACAGACGACCACCCACCTAAAGCCGAAGGATCTGTCCTAGGTTTCTGCCTTTGTAATTCTGTAATTAATGTTTTAAAGAGTTTGGTCTAGACCTGCTCTATTTGAAAAGTGTCCTGAGATAACTTCTGTTATGAATTGGCGCTATACAAATAAAATTGAATTGAATTGAATTCTCAAACTCTCGACCCTGGTCATGGGGGAGTTTGGCCAGGTATCCAAAGCTGGGGATGAAATCATTGAAAAGCCGGTCAGCAGCCATCTTACCAGCCTTGTTCCTGGTGGGGTAGGCTTGCGCGAATCTGGTAAAGTGATCAACCACTACCAAGATATACTCGTATCCACCTCTGCAGGCCTCCAGGTGAAGGAAACGATGCACACCAGCTCGAGGGGCGTATTTGATGTAATAATTCCCATTGGTGCTCTTTCATGTGTGGCTGGCTTCTTCTGTTTAATGCAAGAGCACTTCCTGGTCACATGCTCCTCTATCTCTCTTTTCACGAAAGGCCGGTAGAATCGCTCCCTCGCTAGGCTCAGAACTTTCTCAACACCAATATGACACATGTTGTTATGCAGCTGGGTGAGTACCGTTCGTTTGTAGGTGGCAGGCAGGACCAGTTGTCGTCGACCTGCACTCTTCCTGTAGAGATGGTCATCCTCTATGTGTAATCTGCACCACTCTCTTAACAGCCTCCTTGCGTGTGTGTCCATTCTCCCTCTGTCATCCTCTGTTAATGGTGTGTCGTTTTTCTTCAACTCCATCACCTTCCCATACAGCACATACTGCCTCCTCCGATAACTCTTCCGAACACTCAGCCATGAAGGTGTCGATGTCCAGGGGGCAGCATGATAAGGTGTTGGCATTGATGTTGGTTTTGCCTGGCCGGTATTTGATGTCAAAGTGGAAATCGGCCAGCTGCCCCACCCACCGGTGACCCACTGCGTTGAGCTTGGCAGTACTCAGAATATATGTGAGGGGATTATTGTCTGTGAATACTGTGAAATGCAGGGAGTAGAATAGGTAGTCCCGGAACTTTTCACATATCACCCACTTCAACGCGAGGAATTCAAGCTTTCCGCTGTGTAGGTGATAATTTTGTTCCACTGATGTTAGTGTGCGTGACCCGTATCCAATCACCCTCATCTTCCCATCATGGTTCTGATAAAGAACTGCACCGAGACCTTTTGGGAGGCATCTGTGTGGAGTTTGAAGGGGCGGTTGAAATCAGGATATGCCAGCACCGGTCAGCCGGTCCACAAGCTGTTCAAGGATCTGTTGGTGTTGTATAGTCCATTCTAAAAAAGGGGTTCCTTAAGGAAAAAGGTTAGGAACCACTATGCTGAGCCGGATACTGATATTAGTACTGTGGAACTTATAAATACAGTATGAAATACTTAAGTAACTTGTACTGTATATGTATGTATTGTATTTTATCAAATATATCTCTAAAGTATACCGTTTTCATAACGGCTATGTTTCACTTAGGCAAAGGAACCGGATCAACTGGACAGGGTGGTTCTGCAGAGGTGGGAACTGATGGCGGACACACTACATCTGTTACCAGGGAGATACAACCTGCAGCTGGAGGTAGTTCATTGATCTATATTAAATATGTGGGGCCCAGTGATATTTAATACACAAGACCCAGAATAAACTGAAACCAGACTGTACAAAAATATAGAATTTATTTATGTTGAACAAAAGACTCTCCACTCAACTAGCTGGAAGCAAGAGAGTTTGAATCGAAGGGCTAAATGCAGCTTCATTGTTTACAAAACTAAAAGTCACTGAAGCACATTAATATACAAAAGGAAACATTACAATAAAGATTGAACACTATCTGTCCAATGTAAAAGAAAATGGACTCTACTTATATAGCGGCTAGTCTTTTGACCACTCAATGCGCTATTCACTATATGTACACACAGTCATACACTGATGGCAATGGCTGTCTGCAAGCTGCCAACTGCTCACCATAATGGAAACGCAGCAACAGAGGCCGGGGAATCGAACCTCCAACCTTCAAATTAATGGATGACCCACTCTACCTCTGAGCCACAGCAAGCCCTAAATAAATAATATAAATATACATAATATACCTTTAATATACCAGTCCTCTGCCCCAGTTGGAGACAAATCTCCATGCTGCTTCAGCATACCAAGTTTCTTTCCCAGTGTTCCTAAGCAACCACTCCCTGCTTAAGTCCCTCATCAAACATAAAAACATTGTTTTAACAATTATTTAACAAATCTTTAATTTAATACTATGAGCTAGAAGAAATGGTTCATGGTTTGTATTCACCATTAAAGTAGAGAGACTGTATTTCAAAGGGGAACTTGGCAACTCGAGCCATTTCTTCGCTGGTTTTCACTTTTGTTGTCGCATGTTTTCTCAACGAACTCCCCCTACAGCTCTGGGACGTATATGTCAAAACACTGTCGTAAAAAAACTTACTTGCGGCACCCTCCTCCTCCTTTCTACCGCTGCTGATGTGCATTTGTTGCTGGGCAACTTTTTTGTGTGGAGCAATGTCTACCGAGGTGGGTAATACATTCATCGTTGCTTGTTCTTATAGCCGGCGTGGCTAACCAGTATTAAGGGGGGCGTGTGCGTTTATGTGGAATCTCGCTTCTCACGATACTTCCTATTTCCAACTTAATGGGATGGTAGTCCCAGAGTTGCAAGGTTGGTTTTCCGCCTGGGGACACTAGGGAGAGCGGGGAAACAGGCCATTTAACCATCTAAATGATTTCTAAACGGGTTTATTAAGTTGAAATAGTTGTCAAGTTCCCCTTTAAGGTAGATCTCATAATTATTGATTAAAAGTTAAATTTACTTTAATTTTATTTTATTTTAATTTCCAAAAAGCATGAAAAGCATAAAAAAATTTTGGATAGAAATAGATAGCAATGAAAATCCCAAAGTGATACTAACTGCTGTGTCTTCTGTTGTGTGTCTTACAGGATCTTCTACAACCTCTGGCTCAAATGGGGGAGACAGCAGTCCTTCATTTGTACCAAGTAAATCGTTGCAACACGTTCTCATTCCCAACGCGTCAAAAACTGCAGCTTGGTCAGTCAAGTGAAGCTCTACGTACCCTTCTAGCGTCGCTTTTTGACACGCAGGGATGTTTGATTGACGAGACCGTGGCACTGTCAAGTTAGCAACAACACATTTACCCACGTCCGGGTGGACTGACTTAGGAAAATAAATAAGCAACGTCCGGTTACACTTTCAAAATAAAGCCAGAAGAGAAACGTTTCATATTTTATGAACAATTGTAACGTTAATACTACCACTAAAGACACTAGTTTCTTCCTTCATTTCTTCCTTCTATTTCATAAATACAAATCATGTTGCAACATTATTAGGACAAAAAAGTATAAAGTGACGTTAGTTATGTTAGCTGCACTAATTAGCAACAACACACATAGCTCCTCCAGTGACCGGCATGAGGCAGGAGGTCTTGATTAAAATACAGGACTTTATTGCTGGTCAACCCTTGAGAACTGGGTTAAAGAAAGAAAAAATGAATTAAGCTAGACAAATAATTAATTCCGTCTAGCTGTACAGCTACCCTGTAGACGGACCTGCTAGACGGACATTTATTATTTGTTCCGCCTGAGTGTTTCACCCGAGCGGCTTTTAGCGTGTTTGTGTTGTTGCTAACTTGACAGTGCCACGGTCTCGTCAGTCAAACATCCCTGCGCGTCAAAAAGCGACGCTAGAAGGGTTCCTAGAGCGTCACTTCTTGAAGCGTAGGGCCACTGACCAAGCTGCAGTTTTTGATGCGTTATTTTCTCCTTTTACTTCACATGTATTAGACTTGGTTCATGTATTTACTTGGTGTAACTTTTATAATGTTTTCTTCACTAGCAGTGAAAGTCCATTCCTCATTTAGTGACACTTTATTTGGACAGCCAATGTTCATAGAGTGTTTCTACCATTTCAAAAGCTTATTAGTTTGAGATTCATCAACCGTTTTCTGATATTGAACCACTGTGGTTCAGGTTTGGTTAGGTTTAGACACAACAATCATCTTGGTTGGATTATGAGAATGAATTGTCAGTCTTTTATTAATTTTTTTCCCCTCACATTCAAATATCAGAATAAAACGTCTTCCCTCTTTTAAGTGGAAGTTCTTAAAAACTGGTATGAAGCATTAGACACAGAGGATTTTCTTTTACTAGTGCTGCTTCAGCTCAACAATGTTAAATAACCTCTTTTTTACTTCAGTCAGCCGCTGTGGAACACACCCAGTCCTTGAAAACGGTGTTGTTATGGAAGTGAATCAAATGTCTTTGAAATACCAATGTAGCGGCTTTTACACACAAGTCGGCCTAGACACTGTGGTGTGTCACAACGATGGTACCTGGTCAAAACTGCCCGAGTGTAAAGGTACAGACAAGTCAATACTACTTTTTCTCATTCCAAATGTCTATGAGAAATGTTATCCAAATAATGATAAATTTTCTCTTTATTTTGTGCAGAGTCATTCTGTGTACTGGATCCTGCTCAGTATGTTGGGTCCAATGTTATAATAACTACAAAGGAATATCTAAAGGAAGGAGAGAAGAAGTATTTTCCCTGTATTTGGGATCGTTGGTTCAGTATTTTTCAGTGCACTGAAAGAAGAATAACTATGTCCAGATGTAAGTACATAAATGATCTCTTCACAGTTTAATTTGCCACAATGCTTTTAGTTTCAGCCTTTTTATTGTCAGAGAACATATATGAATATTAATTCTCTAGGATGGGATTCACTATATCTAATATAGTGTGAAAAAGAATATTGAAAGAAAAGAACAGTCTGTCTGTCCCCTTTGTCTCCTGTCTGTCTCAGTTCTTACTTATATGCACTCAGACAAACTGATCTCTGTGACAGTTTTCTTTATTATCTGATCATCATGGATGAGGAATTTGTCCTCTATCTGTATGATTGATCCAATCATTTTAGAGACAAACTTCATCAACTCACCTTCATCCCTGCGTCTAGATAAAGGCCAGAGTCTGCCTTAATGTTACAGTAAAGACCACCACTCTTTCAATCCTCATGCAAATATATAATAGTCAGCTTACCACAACTGGACACAGCTTGCGTGCTAAACGTGTCCAACTGGACAATTGCTGTCTTGTCGCGTGCTCTCAATGACAAGAACATTCTCTTTCATGGAAACAGAAATAAAGCCGAACTATTCAAACTTTCAAGCTTCTCGAATCTTTCCATTACTAACCCTCCTGCCTTTACCATTGCAAACCCTGTAGGGGTGTAAAGATTTACTGATATGAGTCAGAAATCGGTTTCAGCGTTATAGATGCACCTACATTGGTATGCAAACCCCTGGATCGACTAAATGTTCCGTGAACCGGTGTTCAACCGATGTTTTGATTTTAAAGTTATGAATAGGTTGACTGAAGCTTTGCTGCTAACAGCGTCTCCACTCTGGTGAAAGATAAAAGGTCAACGAAAGGTTCACGTGACAAGAGCGACGAGAGTAATGTTAGCGCAGCATGGCTTGTTGGTATGTTAACAAACATGTTCGACAACGCAATTATTGTATCGAACCGCATAGTTTTATATTAAAATGCATCGTCCCTGAATCAAATCGTAGCTCATGTATCTAGATACGTATTGGATTGTCTTAGAAGGGAGAGATGCACACCAACAAAGGCCTGTTTCGCTTTAGTCCCCACTATGCCCCCAGTTCAGCCACATGACCCTCTCCTGTTTCACCACACTAGTTCCTGTTGCCCCACAACCCCACAAAGCAAGGTGATGAATAAAATACCTCAAAATACCAATAGACAAATCTTGTCAAGGAATTTGTTGACAAAAATAAAAAACATTACTGTTGTCCTTAAAGAACAGAACAGATGTTCCTCAGTAGGTTCAGCCATTCACAGATTGAATGAATTAGACCTTAATAAGAGAAGTTTGTGAATTTAACTGCTTACTGAATTATTCACTGCTGTTATTACATTATTTTTAGGTAATAGGTACTGATTGGGTAAGTGTCACTTTTTGATTTACATTTTTTAATGAATTCCATTATTGTATAATCCATATTGTATTTAATGTTGGACACACTTTGTTGTATCCAGCAGTTTTACATGAATTAACTATTCACAATATTTCTTATTGTTTGTGTTGTAAGCAGAGTCACTGCCTGTAAAGTCTAGCAGAGGAGCTACTGCTGGACTCACAACCAAGGCCAAGTTTTGAAGTTCCTCCATCGGAAACAACTATGTTAAAAAAATGTCATCACATTTGTATTTGATCTTTTCAAACCAGTTATTGCTTTGATTCCATTTTGATGGAAAATACATAAACACAATGTTGGAGCTGATTGTTTACCGACAGTCATCTTATATCTTTCTGATTAGAACTGTTAATGCACTTTGAATACATAAATAAAGTTTATGTGGCCTACGGTAGTCTGTATAAAATGTTTGACAGAAATCTTAACAAAGTCCTTCTGAACATGGATATATCAGTAACAGTAATAGTAGTAATGGTCATAGACAGTAATTCTTCTAATATTGATCTGCTTGATACAACATCAGTGCAAAGCATGCAGACAGACGGACAGGCAGACTCACAAATGCCATGGTCAGTTTCAATGATGTCACAACTTTATTTCTCAGTCAGTGAGGAATCTTATATTTAGATTTAAAATCTTTTGAGTGTGGGTTTTATTATCCAACGCTCACTATACAAAGCTGACTTAATTCAAGTAAATGTCACTTTTTTGTCAGTTTGATCTTATTTGGAGTTATTTTAGCTTGACACAAGGGACATATTAGCTATAGGACCTCCAGTATGCTTTGACACTGACTTTAAGACGTTTCAAAACAAAAACATCTTATTTCAAGTTTTAGTCTTTGGGCTTACATTACCGTATTCTTGACTTTATCTTGGAGGAAGATATCTAATTTTAAGATGAAGATTTTTGTTTGCATTAGTTCATTTTTGTCACACCTGTTGATGACAGTAGCACCTCAGATGATTTATATTCCTTTCAGTAAAACATACAAAACTATAGTCTCTGAATAATCATTACAATCCCCAATGAAATAGACCAGAATGAAGCAGATGTAGGTAACTGACTCATACTCTACATGAGATGATTCAATGTGCAGGTTTAGTGTATATCAGATATTACAAACCTTCACTGACTTCACCAAAGCTGAGTATTTGCTCTGAAGAGGTTTGCTCTTACGATGAGTCAATTTAGAGATCACCAGATTTAAACTTTAACAGGCTTGTTACTTGGACCTGTTTTGTCATTCACAATGTTAATAATAATATCTGCTCTTGTAAGTGGATGGTTAGTTGAGTCTCATCCTAACATCATGGTAGAGTATGAGATCTGAGTGTATTAAAGGTATGTGTTGTTCTCCGAAGTAACTGATGACCAAATGTGTGTTTTTAGATATTATGTAAATCCAGAAGTGGACCAGACTGATAAATAACTGAATCAAGGCAGGCACAAGACTGACCTCTGATCACACCAGGCCAGGAAATTATTTTGAAATTTGGACTCTAAATAATCAAATTGATTGTTGTAGAGAGAGTTATACAGCAAATGATCCATTGGTAGTATTTTAGTTCTACACAGAAATACACTAATCATTGTCACAGGTCTTTCCCAAACAAATAAATAAAAACAATAAATACAAATAACAGTGTGCTTCTCCTTGAAGTTCATAATGTGACAGTAAATGAATGAAATTAATTAACAGTATCATCTGAGGTCAAGAAACAAAACCGAACACAGTCAGGTTTGTTCATTTAACCAAGATAGATTAACAAAAGTGACTGATCTGAATTTGAAGTGTTGCAAACATTTATTTCTCATATTGACAATAATTAACTATTAAAGTAACGTAAAAAAAATTTGAGTTTGACTGTATTTCTGTATTCCTATAGGTGTGTGTGTGTGTGTGTGTGTGTGTGTGTGTGTGTGTGTGTGTGTGTGTGTGCGCGTGCGTGCGTGCGTGCGTGCGTGCGTGCGTGCGTGCGTGTGTGTGTTGTGTGTTTGGTCAACAAATGTTTTGGGGGAAGGCTCTCATCAGTTATTAACTGGTTCTGATCTGGACTAGGCTTTCAGTTCTACGTTTTCGCGGGACGATTTAGCTCCTGACAAAATGTGCATCAGATATCTTGGATTCCTTCTTCTGATTTGGTTTCCTGGAGGGCTGCATGGTAAGAATATTAAATACTTTAACCACCATTTGAATTCCTTAAAAACAAATACCGTCACTGTAGAGTAATCCTGTTTATTGTATTTTAGCACAAAGTGCAACACAGTCCTGTGCTGCTCCCAGACTGGATGGTGGTTTCTTTGTCCCAAAACAAGAGACTTATTCTGATGGAACCACTCTGAGCTTTACCTGCAATAACGGAACCTGGACTGAAGGCCCAACGAGCAGTAAGTGGACAGTGTGCTGAGATATACAGTGCTTAAACCTTTCATAAAATGTAAAAGAGACAATTGAACTTTTCCTAAACTGAACAGTGATTGTTTAACCATATGTATCTTAAAAAACACCAGACCTGGCTAATTTTGCCACATGGTGAAAGTGTGTGCATGGGCCTGTAGTCAGAGAGATATTCTGTATGTAAGTGTTATACCTAATACTGTAGTTATCAGGTCAACAGGTAAATAAGCAGAAAGACTTCAGTTTGTTTTAGTCTGAAAATGAATAATGTTGGCCTCTGTCTAGCTAAAGTCTGTTTACATTTTGACAATTGATGCATCTCTATTTTATCAAATATCTCTCTAAAGTGTAGTGTTTCTATAATATTTTTTCACTCAGGGAGAGGAACTGGATCAGACACTGGACGTGGTGGATCCACAGTGGGAGGAGCAGGTGGGGGACACACTACACTGACTGGCAGTGGGACACAACCTGCAGGTACAGGTAGGTTAATGTCATTGTAGGCAAAATTGTATTTTAAAGTAGATTGAATAATCATAATTAAATAACTTCATTTTCCTTTTTTTTCATGAAAAGCATCGAAAACTTTTGGAAAGAAATAGATAGCAATGAAAATCCCAAAGTGATACTAACTGCTGTGTCTTCTGTTGTGTGTCTTACAGGATCTTCTACAACCTCTGGCTCAAATGGGGGAGACAGCAGTCCTTCATTTGTACCAAGTAAATCATTCAGATTATTTTCTCCTTTTACTTCACATGTATCAGACTTGGTTCATATATTTACTTGGTGTAACTTTTCAGTTTTTCTTCACTATCAGTGAAAGTCCATTTATCATTCAGGTTTGGTTAGGTTTAGACACAAAAATCATCTTGGTTAGAGTATGTGAATGAATTGTCATTTCTTAAACTTTTTTCCCCTCACGTTCAAATATCAGAATAAAATGTCTTCCCTCTTGTAAGTGGAGGTTCTTAAAAACTGGTATGAACCATTAGACACAGAGGATTTTCTTTTACTAGAGCTGCTTCAGATCAACATCATGACAATGTTAAATAACCTCTTTTTTACTTCAGTCAGCCGCTGTGGAACACACCCATTCCTTGAAAACGGTATTGTTGTGGACGTGAATCAAATGTTTTTGAAAAACCAATGTAACGGCTTTTACACACAAGTCGGCCCAGACACTGTGGTGTGTCACAACGATGGTACCTGGTCAAAACTGCCCGAGTGTAAAGGTACAGACAAGTCAATGCTACTTTTTCTCATTCCAAATGTCTATGAGAAATGTTATCCAAATAATGATACATTTTCTCTTTATTTTGTGCAGAGTCATTCTGTGTACTGGATCCTGCTCAGTATGTTGGGTCCAATGTTATAATAACTACAAAGGAATATCTAAAGGAAGGAGAGAAGAAGTATTTTCCCTGTATTTGGGATCGTTATTTCAGTATTTTTCAGTGCACTGAAAGAAGAATAACTATGTCCAGATGTAAGTACATAAATGATCTCTTCACAGTTTAATTTGCCACAATGCTTTTAGTTTCAGCCTTTAACTCTCTAGGATCGGATTCACTATATCTAATATAGTGTGAAAAAGAATATTGAAAGAAAAGAACAGTCTGTCTGTCCCCTTTGTCTCCTGTCTGTCTCAGTTCTTACTTATACGCACTCAGACAGACTGATCTCTGTGACAGTTTTCTTTATTATCTGATCATCGGTTTCAGTGTTATAGATGCACCTACATTGGTATGCAAACCCCTGGATCGACTAAATGTTCCGTGAACCGGTGTTCAACCGATGTTTTGATTTTAAAGTTATGAATAGGTTGACTGAAGCTTTGCTACTAACAGCGTCTCCACTCTGGTGAAAGATAAAAGGTCAACGAAAGGGTCACGTGACAAGAGCGACGAGAGTAATGTTAGCACAGCATGGCTTGTTGGTATGTTAACAAACATGTTCGACAACGCAATTATTGTATCGAACCATATCGTTTTATATTAAAATGCATCGTCCCTGAATCAAATCATAGCCCACATACTGTATCTAGATACGTATTGGATTGTCTTAGAAGGGAGAGATGCACACCAACAAAGGCCTGTTTCGCTTTAGCCCCCACTATGCCCCCCAGTTCAGCCACACGACCCTCTCCTGTTTCACCACACTAGTTCCTGTTGCCCCACAACCCCACAAAGCAAGGTGATGAGTAAAATACCTCAAAATACCAATAGACAAATCTTGTCAAGGAATTTGTTGACAAAAATAAAAAACATTACTGTTGTCCTTAAAGAACAGAACAGATGTTCCTCAGTAGGTTCAGCCATTCACAGATTGAATGAATTAGACCTTAATAAGAGAAGTTTGTGAATTTAACTACTTACTGAATTATTCACTGCTGTTATTACATTATTTTTAGGTAATAGGTACTGATTGGGTAAGTGTCACTTTTTGATTTACATTTTTTAATGAATTCCATTATTGTATAATCCATATTGTATTTAATGTTGGACACACTTTGTTGTATCCAGCAGTTTTACATGAATTAACTATTCACAATATTTCTTATTGTTTGTGTTGTAAGCAGAGTCACTGCCTGTAAAGTCTAGCAGAGGAGCTACTGCTGGACTCACAACCAAGGCCAAGTTTTGAAGTTCCTCCATCGGAAACAACTATGTTAAAAAAATGTCATCACATTTGTATTTGATCTTTTCAAACCAGTTATTGCTTTGATTCCATTTTGATGGAAAATACATAAACACAATGTTGGAGCTGATTGTTTACCGACAGTCATCTTATATCTTTCTGATTAGAACTGTTAATGCACTTTGAATACATAAATAAAGTTTATGTGGCCTACGGTAGTCTGTATAAAAAGTTTGACAGAAATCTTAACAAAGTCCTTCTGAACATGGATATATCAGTAACAGTAATAGTAGTAATGGTCATAGACAGTAATTCTTCTAATATTGATCTGCTTGATACAACATCAGTGCAAAGCATGCAGACAGACGGACAGACAGACTCACAAATGCCATGGTCAGTTTCAATGATGTCACAACTTTATTTCTCAGTCAGTGAGGAATCTTATATTTAGATTTAAAATCTTTTGAGAGGGTATTATTATCCAACGCTCACTTTACACGGCTGACTTAATTCAAGTAAATGTCACTTTTTTGTCAGTTTGATCTTATTTGGAGTTATTTTAGCTTGACACAAGGGACATATTAGCTATAGGACCTCCAGTATGCTTTGACACTGACTTTAAGCTCTGACGTTTCAAAACAAAAACATCTTATTTCAAGTTTTAGTCTTTTGGCTTACATTACCGTATTCTTGACTTTATCTTGGAGGAAGATATCTAATTTTAAGATGAAGATTTTTGTTTGCATTAGTTCATTTTTGTCAGCCTGTTGATGACAGTAGCACCTCAGATGATTTATATTCCTTTCAGTAAAACAATACAAAACTATAGTCTCAGAATAATCATTACAATCCCCAATGAAATAGACCAGAATGAAGCAGATGTAGGTAACTGACTCATACTCTACATGAGATGATTCAATGTGCAGGTTTAGTGTATATCAGATATTACAAACCTTCACTGACTTCACCAAAGCTGAGTATTTGCTCTGAAGAGGTTTGCTCTTACGATGAGTCAATTTAGAGATCACCAGATTTAAACTTTAACAGGCTTGTTACTTGGACCTGTTTTGTCATTCACAATGTTAATAATAATATCTGCTCTTGTAAGTGGATGGTTAGTTGAGTCTCATCCTAACATCCTGGTAGAGTATCAGATCTGAGTGTATTAAAGGTATGTGATGTTCTCCGAAGTAACTGATGACCAAATGTGTGTTTTTAGATATTATGTAAATCCAGAAGTTGACCAGACTGATAAATAACTGAATCAGGGCAGGCACAAGACTGACCTCTGATCACACCATGCCAGGAAATTATTTTGAAATTTGGACTCTAAATAATCAAATTGATTGTTGTAGAGAGAGTTATACAGCAAATGATCCATTGGTAGTATTTTAGTTCTACACAGAAATACACTTATCATTGTCACAGGTCTTTCCCAAACAAATAAATAAAAACAATAAATACAAATAACAGTGTGCTTCTCCTTGAAGTTCATAATATGACAGTAAATGGATGAAATTGATTAACAGTATCATCTGAGGTCAAGAAACAAAACCGAACACAGTCAGGTTTGTTCATTTAACCAAGATAGATTAACAAAAGTGACTGATCTGAATTTGAAGTGTTGCAAACATTTATTTCTCATATTGACAATAATTAACTATTAAAGTAACGTAAAAAAAATTTGAGTTTGACTGTATTTCTGTATTCCTATAGGTGTGTGTGTTTGAGTGTGTGTGTGTGTGTGTGTGTGTGTGTGTGTGCGTGCGTGCGTGCGTGCGTGCGTGCGTGCGTGTGTGTGTGTTTGTGTGTGTGTGTGTGTGTGTGTGTGTGTGTGTGTGTGTGTGTGTGTGTGTGTGTGTGTGTGCGTGTGTGTGTGTATGTTTGGTCAACAAATGTTTTGGGGGAAGGCTCTCATCAGTTATTAACTGGTTCTGATCTGGACTAGGCTTTCAGTTCTACGTTTTCGCGGGACGATTTAGCTCCTGACAAAATGTGCATCAGATATCTTGGATTCCTTCTTCTGATTTGGTTTCCTGGAGGGCTGCATGGTAAGAATATTAAATACTTTAACCACCATTTGAATTCCTTAAAAACAAATACAGTCACTGTAGAGTAATCCTGTTTATTGTATTTTAGCACAAAGTGCAACACAGTCCTGTGCTGCTCCCAGACTGGATGGTGGTTTCTTTGTCCCAAAACAAGAGACTTATTCTGATGGAACCACTCTGAGCTTTACCTGCAATAACGGAACCTGGACTGAAGGCCCAATGAGCAGTAAGTGGACAATGTGCTGAGATATACAGTGCTTAAACCTTTCATAAAATGTAAAAGAGATAATTGAACTTTTCCTAAACTGAACAGTGATTGTTTAACCATATGTATCTTAAAAAACACCAGACCTGGCTAATTTTGCCACATGGTGAAAGTGTGTGCATGGGCCTGTAGTCAGAGAGATATTCTGTATGTAAGTGTTATACCTAATACTGTAGTTATCAGGTCAACAGGTAAATAAGCAGAAAGACTTCAGTTTGTTTTAGTCTGAAAATGAATAATGTTGGCCTCTGTCTAGCTAAAGTCTGTTTACATTTTGACAATTGATGCATCTCTATTTTATCAAATATCTCTCTAAAGTGTAGTGTTTCTATAATATTTTTTCACTCAGGGAGAGGAACTGGATCAGACACTGGACGTGGTGGATCCACAGTGGGAGGAGCAGGTGGGGGACACACTACACTGACTGGCAGTGGGACACAACCTGCAGGTACAGGTAGGTTAATGTCATTGTAGGCAAAATTGTATTTTAAAGTAGATTGAATAATCATAATTAAATAACTTCATTTTCCTTTTTTTTCATGAAAAGCATCGAAAACTTTTGGAAAGAAATAGATAGCAATGAAAATCCCAAAGTGATACTAACTGCTGTGTCTTCTGTTGTGTGTCTTACAGGATCTTCTACAACCTCTGGCTCAAATGGGGGAGACAGCATTCCTTCATTTGTACCAAGTAAATCATTCTGATTATTTTCTCCTTTTACTTCACATGTATCAGACTTGGTTCATATATTTACTTGGTGTAACTTTTCAGTTTTTCTTCACTATCAGTGAAAGTCCATTTATCATTCAGGTTTGGTTAGGTTTAGACACAACAATCATCTTGGTTAGAGTATGTGAATGAATTGTCATTTCTTAAACTTTTTTCCCCTCACGTTCAAATATTAGAATAAAATGTCTTCCCTCTTGTAAGTGGAAGTTCTTAAAAACTGGTATGAACCATTAGACACAGAAGATTTTCTTTTACTAGTGCTGCTTCAGATCAACATCATGACCATGTTAAATAACCTCTTTTTTTACTTCAGTCAGCCGCTGTGGAACACACCCAGTCCTTGAAAACGGTGTTGTTATGGAAGTGAATCAAATGTTTTTGAAATACCAATGTAACAGCTTTTACACACAAGTCGGTCCAGACACTGTGGTGTGTCACAACGATGGTACCTGGTCAAAACTGCCCGAGTGTAAAGGTACAGACAAGTCAGTGCTACTTTTTCTCATTCCAAATGTCTATGAGAAATGTTATCCAAATAATGATACATTTTCTCTTTATTTTGTGCAGAATCATTCTGTGTCCTGGATCCTGCTCAGCATGTTGTGTCCAATGTTATAATAACTACAAAGGAATATCTAAAGGAAGGAGAGAAGAAGTATTTTCCCTGTATTTGGCATAGTTATTTCAGTCTTTTTCAGTGCACTGAAAGAAGAATAACTATGTCCAGGTGTAAGTACATAAATGATCTCTTCACAGTTTAATTTGCCACAATGCTTTTAGTTTCAGCCTTTTTATTGTCAGAGAACACATATGAATATTAACTCTCTAGGATCTGATTCACTATATCCCAGATAGTGTGAAAAAGAATATTGAAGGAAAAGAACAGTCTGCCTGTCCCTTTTGTCTCCTGTCTGTCTCAGTTCTTACTTATATGCACTCAGACAGACTGATCTCTGTGACAGTTTTCTTTATTATCTGATCATCATGGACGAGGAACTTGTCGTCTATCTGTATGATTGATCCAATCATTTTGGAGACATACTTCATCAACTCACCTTCATCCCTGCATCCAGATAAAGGCCAGAGTCTGCCTTACTGTTACAGTAAAGACCACCACTCTTTCAAACACCACACGTCCAACTGGCCAAGATCAAGACAATCCTCATGCAAATATATAATAGTCAGCTTACCACAACTGGACATGGCTCGCGTGCTAAACATGTCCAACTGGACAATTGCTCTCTTGTCGCGTGCTTTCAATGACAAGAACATTATTTTTAATGGAAACAGCAATAAAGCCGAACTATTCAAACTTTCAAGCTTCTCGAATCCTTCCATTGCTAGCCCTCCTGCCTTTACCCTTGCAATCCTGTAGGGGTGTACCCCTGGATTGACTAAATGTTCCGTGAACCGGTCGATGTTTTGATTTTAAAGTTATGAATGGGTTGACTGAAGCTTTGCTGCTAACAGCGTCTCCACTCTGGTGAAAGATAAAAGGTCAACGAAAGGGTCTTGTGACATGAGCGCCGAAAGTAATGTTAGTGTTATGAGTTTCAAATTGTGTAACTGGAGTAACAAATGATTTTTATTGGGGTTCACTGCTCTCAACTCTCCTAGAGGAAACCCTGGAAAACAGAATCACGGAGTCAGTGAGTGAAAGAGCGAACCGCCATCTTCGTCTCCAAATCTCTGTCTGAGAGAAGAGGGAGGCTTCTCTCACGTAGGCACCGTGGTACAACGATACCCGTACTTTGGTTCCGCTTTCTTTTCTTTCCCCCTACATTAATATTGTCTTTCACAATAATTTCACTCTGAACATACACACATTTTTTTCCCCCAACAAAACACATTCCAACTCTCAATGAGTGTGTCCTATAAAGTGCATATTTCAGATCTCATGTGGTGAGTATGCAATGTATGGTGTATATATTCCTACAGGTATGTATAAAATGTATAGGGTATGTGTGATTCAGGTAAGTATAAAATGTATAATGTATGAGTCCTTCAAGTAGGTATGAAATGTATGATGTATGAGTGGTTCAACAAAGTATGAAATGTATGGTATTTGGGTTTGTTTTTTTTTCATGGCATCTCATCCACAGTGAGCTGGGTACACGACAGGTAGGTAAGGGTATGGGGCGATGGATGGGGGTTGGAAGTGGTGGAAGTATTG